AAAATACGACAGCTGCACCATTAAACAGACTTAACTCGTAAACTGATTAAAGAACTAATTACAGGTTGACAGGTAATACTTGATTGTTTTGGATTAAATACCATAAAAAAATGAAGAACGAAGCAGAAATAAAAACTGTCTTATTTGGTTGTTGAACTAAGGAATATAAAAACGTATATCAACAAACAGTACAATCAGAGGCGTAGCGAGGAATTGAGGTGGGGGGGGGGGGGGAGGAAGGGTGCTGACCGCACCGTGTGATATAATTTAGAGGAGGTGACACCAAGGCAAGAAATAGCAAAATGTCTACACGTTGCCTTAGGGAAAAATGTTTTGTTGTGAATCGAAATAATTTATATGTCAATCCCAGTCTGTGATGGGTGGGGGGGGGGTGAGTGACACCAAATATAAAGATAATTTACATAACAATCTCAACTTTAGTTGCGTATTTAGTTAAATACGCGTTAGAAAAGTTAACTATAAAAGAAATTTAGGCACATCATTGTGTTTTGCATATGTTTTGCCGTAGGCTGTTCTCTGGTCGGCCTTCCCTCAGTAGGTACTGTCCGAACATATTTTGTGTTGTTGACGTTTTGTGTCAATGACAGCCTTTGAACGTTGTCGGCTCTCTGTTTTGATCCTAAGTTTTGTTATGTAATGATCGTGATAAATATGGGCAGTAAAGGTGGTTGAACTAAGCATAAGTATTGTTGTGATGAATTGAGGGCAGCAATTCAGATGACCTTGCCATTTAACGGTAATTTAATTTAAAAAAAAAAACACGATGAAAACCGTGGACATTCTATTAAATGCTATAAATATAATGTTTAACATAATTACAATCTACATAATTCATACTAAATATTTTTAGATGAATTATAAAAATTACTATGCGTATACAACCTACACACATTTCATTACATTTAATTAATCATAAGTTAATTTGCACTCTTTGAATATTTAATACATAAAAGTATTAACAAATCACATGCAAATATATATTTGTGACTTTTTTACTTTCTCGTATATACGAAGTATAGAGAAAGTATTTTAATCGTGCACAAAAATCACTTGAAATTTTAACAATTTTCACAGTATTACACCTCAGTCCTTCATCACATCCGAAGTATAGAGGACTTATTTTAATCGGGCAAAAATTATCAATCCAGATTTATCAAAATTAAGAGGTTTTATGCGTAATCCAGTCTGAAAACCTGGGCTTTGCAATTCTGTCCGTATGTCTGTGTGTCTGTCTGTCTGTGTGTGTGTAAACCCGATAACTTGAGTACCGTTACAGCTAGGTTGATGAAATTTCATATATAAGTATTTTATCAAAATTGTAGATCCGTAACAACTTTTGAGCGATTTCCGATAACCGGAAGTGGTACTTATCCTACTTTGAATTTTTTAAAAGCCTATAACTTGAGTACTATTTCAGATAGATAAATGAAATTTCACATGTAAGTAAAAGATCTAATTCTCTACCTTCTGTTAAATTTTGAGTCATTTCCGTTGACCGGAAGTAGTAATTTACGCTACTTCCGATTTCTCAAAAAACTAATGTAAATTTTTAAAGTACTAATAATATTGCGCACTATTATGCACTTTTTTATTTAGCGTTCACTCGGTGTGCAATTCTTTTGTCTACGAGATTTTATTCTATTTTTAAAACTTTAAGGATTTAAAATGGATTTAAAATCATAACTATGTCCCGAGTTCCCATCCCCTGTTATTTTATATAAAAATATTCGAGAAAGTTTAGGGAAGATCACTCCCGGTTCATTTCCTGTGTTTTTTTACTTTCTCGTATATACGAAGTATAGAGAAAGTCTTGTAATCGTGCAAAAAAAAAAAAAAAGAGATTTTTACAAATCTCGACGTTTTACATCTCACTAATACGGAGAAACATAATTTTGCAATCTTGTCCGTATGTCCGTGTGTCTGTGTGTGTGTAAACACGATAACTTGAGTACCGTTACAGATAGGTTGATAAAATTTTATGTATAAGTGTTTTATCAAAATCGTAGATCCGTATTAACTTTTGAGCGATTTCCGATAACCGGAAGTGGTACTTTTTCTACTTTGAATTTTTCAAAAGCCTATAACTTGAGTACTATTTCAGATAGATAAATGAAATTTCATATGTAAGTAAAAGATCTAATTCTCTACCTTCTATCGAATTTTGAGTAATTTCCGTTGACCGGAAGTACTAATTTACGCTATTTCAGACTTCTCAAAAACGCATGTAAATTAATAAAGTACTAATAATATTGCGCACTATTATGCACATTTTGTTTTGGCGTTCGCTTGGTGCGCAACTTTTTTTCTACTAGATTTTATTCTATTTTTAAAAGTTTAAGTAAACAAAAATCATGTCTATATATTCTGAGTTGCCATCCCACGTAGTGTTATATTAGAATATTCGAGAAAGTTTAGGGGAGATCACTCCCGGTTTATTTTTCCTGTGACTTTTTTTCCTACAATCATGTTGTTGACATGGAATAAAAATGTGCTTTTTTATATTTAGATCGTAAAAAAATGAAAAAAAAAAAACTTAAGCCTAAAATTAATTTAGAAATTTTATATTTTTAGAAAAAATGCTATAAAAGTTGCAAATCCAGAGAACTTGAAAATAGTTTTTTGAGTTTAAGGCTACATTTCTATTTATTTTCATCAAGCCTAAGTTATAACTGGATGTTTCACTTTCGTAAGACAAATATTGATTTGGTGTACTGTAACTTAGTAATCGATAACTATTTGTTTACAAAACTTTGCAGATCAAGTTTTTAAATAACAATGCAAATTTAAACCCCATGACCTAATTTTCTATTTTTAGCCTACAACGTCTACAATAAAATTTATGGGCGGCCTATCGAATAGCAGGATGCCATTGTTTATGTCGCCATTACACGTGGAAACAAAATTGTTTTTACTTTTTTATTTTATTTTTATTTAGTTACCGAAAATATTAAAAACATTAGATACATCCAATCTTTAGTAAAGTCCAAAAAAAAAACCGAGACAGGCAGGATTTTATAACCATATTAATTGTAATTACGCCGTGCATGATTTTTTATAGACCTCTAAAATACTAGTCTGGCGCATTGCTTAGATGGTAGGATTGACCTCTGACCCTGAAACGTCACGCGTCGTTTTCTGACGGGTTTTACGTTTATTTTAGGGGTCCCATCCACGACAAATGAAAAAACTGTTTATATCGCAAATTCTCATCATTATTTTAATGCAAATTGCTAATAAAATGGATAATATGCCTTAGAATGCCAGAAAAAATCGCAAGATTCGTGGTTGTAAATAATGAGAGCATGTCTAGTGGAGCACTCTCCGTAAAAACTGAACCGCCGCCAAAAACGACCGACTAACGGGGAAAACGGCTCGACTAACTGTACATTATTATATAATTGATATATTTATCATGTATATTTACAGTATTTTTGATTACTTTTTCCAAAATCTCACTCGAGGATGAGGTACCCCCGCTGACATATCTATCCGCTATTTTTAGTATCATGACGTCATTGTTACGCTAGTTACCTCACAGAAACAACTAGTTTTTGTTTTTTGCGGAATGAACTGTTAAATCTAGTATTTTAATTATAATTCAATTGTAGCATGTGCGGAAAAAGTAAAATTATGGACATTATTATTGTATTAGTAATTTTATTAGTATATTGATTTTTTTTCTTCACTGTGGGCCGACAGTTGCTGCATTCGTGACCTGTGGTTAACCTCGTCAACGCTGCGTGGCCTATTCGTTTATATAATCAGTGATGCTCGTTCAGTGGCCTTTTTCAAAGCTAGGCCTAATTACGGGCGATTTTTAGACTTAATTGATCGGCCGTTAGCCTTTTTCATTGCTGCGTATTTTAAAAAATGCTCGTTCAGCGGCCTTTTTTTTTTTTGCGCTAAATAATCTGTTTACGGGCATTTTAAACGTTTATTTATTTATTTTTTTAAAGCTAGACGTAGATCTAGTTTTAAAAAAAATAATTTTTATACAGCTGGCTGTCTAGCATGCCTCCTAATGATATGTGAACTTTTAAAAAAATGACCGAACTTTAAAAAAAATGTCCAGAAGTAGGGAAGTAGGTCTGTTTTTCAATTTGCTTGAAGAAGGGGGGAGGGGGGGGGGGGGGGGGAGGGAAGAGAGAGAGAAGTGAAGACACCGACCATCTCGTGTACGCGTGTTCATTCTATGACGTGTACTATAGGCCTGCTGAACTCACGGTGACCCGCGACCGTGGTGGGATTTTTCAACCACAGGATAGTAAACGTAAGCAAGCAATCACGCGAGTGACGATGTTTGGAGATTTTATTTAAAAAAAAAAATCACATACGTCATGTTTTCAAGATGAAAAAAAATGTAATGTAAAAAAAAAAGACACTAATACCATGTATGAACCTCAGCTGCCACACTGTTGACTCGATATAAAGTGATTGAGTGTAAAATGTATTTTTATTTATAAACTATCTTAACTATTACACTATCATATTATTTTATGCATATATTATTTAAAATTAGGATTTGAAATAAAAATATTTATTATGGTCATTTGATTTATGCAGGTGCTCATTATTTCATAAAATGGTATGAATAACATGTAGAGTAGAATTTAATAAATAATAAAATAACTAGATCTAGTTTTATTATCAACCAGTTGCTTTTTGTTCAGTTACTTTTTGTTATTTTCCGGTGAGTAAATAACCTAAGCTGACGCAATTACCATGGCGGGAATTAATAGCTCGTGTACACACGTCCACGACGTAATGTTATGCCGGTCGAGGGGCTAAAACACGGTTTTGTCTTTCATTTTCCAATATCGGAAAAATTTCAAATTCTCTCTTTTCTCGTCAACCGAGTAAGCTAGATATTCAAATGTGGTGTCAAATGTTCTCTTAAGGGGTAAGGAACTTAATGGTGTATTTGAAATAACAGAATATTTTATTTAAAAAAATCCATAATTCAACCTACTAAAATACCTTTGACCCTTTGCTTTGAGACTTTTCTCGCTGGCGTCCATTTCGTAAAACAAACATTAGGGCCTACATTGATAGATCTAGATTTTTCTAGGCCTAATTTTAAATTTATTTGCTGTGAAGGAACTCAACGGTCTAATCTAGATCTCTAGATCTAGATTAGATCTATAATTCTAGACTCTATAGTTAGGCCTATATCTAGATCTAGATCTAGATTCTATATTAATCTAGAATCTAGTCTAGATCTAGATATCTATATTTTATATTCTGTCTGAAAACCCTTCATTGTAATTTGTTCTCAATACTTTGCCGTTAAAGATTTTTTATAAAATTATTTATTATTTTTGTTTTGAACAACATGACATAGAGATCTAGATTTAATCTAGATCTAGATTAGAACCTAGATTCCTAGATCTAGGCATAGGATAGGGCATAGGGCCTACTTCTGCATTTTCAGTGATAAAATGTTAGTAGCCTAAACTGGCAATTTTTTCTTTCCAGTTTTGTTTCGTCACCAAAAATATTTAGATATCTAAATATCTAGTAAATTATCTAGATTCTAGATCTAGATCTAAATTTAATCTATTTAATTTTTGGTATGTTTGTAACTACTACTAGATCTATAGATGATTAGATCTAATCCAGTAGATCTAGAATCTAGAAGCCTTTCGTTTTAGTCAGTCTTGATAAAATGTGAGACGCAAAATGACGAAGTGGTTTAAATTAAATGGGAGTAGAGATCTAGATCTAGAAGGAGTCGTCCATAAATGACGTCACACTCGTAGGGGTGAAGGGGGGTCCGTAATTTTGTGACAGTGTGTGATGAAGGGGGTGGTTCAGATGGTGCGACGTCACACTTTTGCTTTATAAAAAAAGCAATGTTAGAAAACGAATTTTAGACGTTATTTCGCATTTTAGAAAACTGTTTTAATAAATTGTAATAGGAATTGATTAAAATACTCTATTTTGACAGAGTTCAGACAAGATTTTAGAAAAATATTGATTTAAAAAAAAAAATTCAACTGCAATTTAGAGGGGTGTTGTAGGATGAGGAGTGTCGTCATTTTAGGGGGGGGGGGGTGTGGGGTTCTGGCTTTTTGTGAAAAAGGGGAGTGGGGAGGTAAAAATCATAAAAAAAAGCGTGGCGTCATTTATGGATGACCCCAAAAGTAAAACATAGATTACCTGCGGAATGGACATAACCGACATGAATAGTATAGTCTCTAAAACTAAATTATTCAAAAGGCCCATTTCATTAAATAATTATATCAGGCTTAATTAGGCCTAAATCATAATTATATTAAAGGTACTTAAAATCGGACGAGGCTAGTACTAGTAGGTTAATGTTAACAAGTTAAAGAAAGGTGATTCATTCATTTTTAGTAGGCCTATTGTTTTAAAAATTACAACAGTGTTTCAAAGTTTCATTCATGTTTATTGTGCCTGTTTTATTTTAAATTTAAGCAATTTTACTCAAACATTTCAATAAGTAAAAAATACTAAATTACCCATCAAATCTATTTATACTATTTAATCTAGGCCTATTATATTTGACACAAATATATCACAATATACATATTAAAGCCATAATAAGCTATTAACGAGTCACCTTAAATTTCACATTACTAGCCTCTGATGATTTTACATACATAAAATGTAAACGATAGTTTACTCCTACTGTCTGTAGATACTGAAAATTAGTAAATAACTGGAATTAGAATCTAGATCTACTAACTACTATGATCTAGTATTCTAGATGAGTAGAAATCTTGATTCTAAGAACTTGGTAATTGTAATTAAATGGGCCTATTTCAACTGTTACTCATCCTATTAGTTTTGTTTAACTTAACTAGACACTAGATACTTCTAGATCTAGACTGATCTAGAATTTCAGATTAGTAGATTTAAATTTAGATCTAGGACTAGTAGAATATAGATCCTAGTTTGATTTGAGGGTGTCCATAAAAGACATCAAGCTCTTTTGGAATATTTTTTACCCCGCCCCCTCCTTGTCTCACATCATTACAGAAAGCCTGACCTAAAATGACATTGCACTTACATTATGTGATTGTAAAGCGGTATTTATGGTTTAAGATGTGTACCATAATGCATATAATTATTACAGTTTTTATAAGATGTGTCTTACTAAAAGTTACTTTTGAACTACTAACTTACAAGTTACGAAATTTGACTTATGTGATTGTGCAATGATTGTTACATTATTAATTTACTTTATTGAGGTGTCATACTTCTCATACTAATGTACATGCCTCAATTTTTACTAGTTTTGACATCTGCAGATTACTTGGATCAGAAGGCTACTCCTGGTCTCTTACTTGAAAAAATACACAACCATGGCAGAGGGAAAAGCAAAGCCTGAAACTTTCTGCCTCTTTTATAAAAAAGAATCACCATTTAGTCAGCACCACCCAAGCAAGTTTAAAGTTGATGATCAGGAATTCAACTGTGCTGAGCAGTACATGATGTATAAGAAAGCTGGTACACATTTTTCTAGCAGCCAAATGCTCTATCCTTTGACCATTAATGTGTTTATAAAAAAAAAATTATATTATTGGCCTATAACTTTAATTAATGTGAAATTTAAAATTTTAATCATACGATAATATTAGAATTTAAATGAAGTTTCTTAACTTTCTCTGCCAATTATTATTGGCATATTCATGTATTTGTTTAGCTGGAATAAATAGTAATTTTCCAAAAACGACTACACATGTTATAAAGAGAAAGAGTAATTTACAGTACATTTGTGATGGGATGCCACATAGAGAGTAAGATAGGAGTTCTAGCAGCTAATTTTTCACAAAACTTGCTTTTTGGAGCATGATTTGAGGTGTCTGCTTGTAACAGATTTATAAATTTCCTACATGCTGAAACACATGTCACTTTTTACAATTTCCTTTATAAAATTTAAATTTTTGTTTTAAAACTTGTGTTAACATTTTTCTGCAGAGCTGTTCCAGGATGAAATTATGAAAAAGAAAATAATGGAATCCAAAAGTCCAATGGAGCAGAAAAAATTTGGGCGTCAAGTCCACAATTTTGATGAAGATAAGTGGAACGCAGTTTGTGAGGATATTGTCAAGGAAGCTTCAATTGCTAAGGTGGTCTAAAAAATATTGAACACCAATAAAATTGGATAATGTATGTTAAAATGTTGGCTGTTTTAGATGTCAGCAGTGTCAGCAAGTTGATCTGACTTTTAAATCACTGAGCCACCTTAACAGCACTGAGTTAATGGCTTGATTTAATTTAATTAACTGAAACTGTCAAATAAAAATAACATATCATAATTATTTGTGGGACTAATTCAACCTTTAATATGTGAAAGTCAAAGCTAATTGACTTTTGACTCAACACACTTCTCTTCATTAGGATTAGCCCCAAAGAAATTTGAAATATTGATTATTGTCCCTAAGAATATTTCATTTTTCCTGTAAGTAATGTAATAATTTTATAATATTATTTTAATAGTTATTTATCTTTTGCAGTTTAAACAAAATGAGCACTTAAGAAAGGAGTTATTTGCAACTTTTCCAAAGACTTTGGTTGAGGCCAGTCCTACAGACTGCATCTGGGGAATAGGGATGAGTGAGTCAAATCCTAAAGCCCATGACAAGAAGCTATGGCGGGGAAAAAACAAATTAGGTTACATCCTGACGCAGGTTAGGGATGAGCTTATGGAGAGCTTATAGAGAAATGGAACAACACCTTTGGTCAAGTTCAGGAGCAGGACACTGGACATCACAACATGGCCAAGAGCTGGTCACTAGATATTACATCATGGCCAGGAGCTAGACAAAAGACTGTATTTCATAGCCCCCAGATTTCTGCTGAACATGTGTGTATGTTTATTTAAGTTATACAACTAAAATAAAGCCCTGATATAAATTGTATTATTAAATCTATTACAACCAGTCCGTCCATACAGCTACATTTCCAGCTATTCATTATTTTTTTATTTATAATAAAATTAACTGCCAGTAAATGGCCTTTTGTATTCTAAGATCATGGATACAAAACTGAAACTGATTCACTTAATCTCAACACAAGCACACTCAATTGTTTTAAAAAGTAAATGATAATATCATTCCAATTTATTTTGACAAAATTATCTATATAAGCAAAAGACCGCAAAATGTATAAATTATAAAAAGTCTCAAAATTAACTGTTACAAAATTATCCATGATTTAATTTATTTAAAAAACAATATCTAAATGTAAGGAACAAGGCATTTTGTATTATTTAAAGCACAGCTATGTTTAGAAAAGTGTTGAGATCTTTTAAAAAGTTTATAAACAAACTATGTTTCATTAATATTATACCTAGCAATCACAAAATGAATGCATCTTTCTGCATGAATTATTATGAATAATCTTTGTGCCTTGTATTTCTATCTACATTCTGAGTACGGCTGAGGTTTTTCAAATTTAAAACCATTACAAATATTACTTTTTAGTTTCTTACATTTGCCAATCACAGAATAATGAATAGACCCTGGGCCTCTAACTATAGCATCAGGTAGGGCCAAGTAGCAACTACGAAACCCAATCTTTTAATATTTTTTTATACATTCCGCACTTTATTTGAGAAGAGCTAAAAAATATACAAAATATTACTTTTATTTGAGTACAAGTTTTATCAAATTGGAAGCATTGTCAACTAAGTGTTTGGCTATTTATGTCAACAAGCTTAGAGCAGTTTGAAAAGTTTTGTTTAGTTCTGTCTGACCAAGGTATAAAGAGTTAATTTTGTATTTTATAGAATAAAGGTCAAACCTTCTAAAAAAACTAACAAAAAACCTTTTTTTGAATCAATTAGTTTTTCCACCTTTCAGTCTTGAAGTCAGGCTATCGAATTAATTTTATAATGAATAGCCTTAAAAGGCCAGCGAGTTAAACAGCTTGTGGGTTAATAAGAATATCCTTGATCATTCCAGACCTGTTTTTTATTTAATGAAATCATTTGCATTGAAAAAGGCGCAGGTCTTAAAATTGTGTTTAATGACATTATTTGTATTAGCATGTGAGCATTTTTTAAATTAAAAGCAATAAATGTTAAGCTCTGGAATTGGTCAGCTTGATGTAGCATATCTAGGCCTACAACTACAAGCAAGAGTTTAAAAAAAAATTTTGTGTTATTGTAATTCCAGTCAGAGACTTAGAGGGAAATGGCTGAGTGGCATTATTTTTTTAAAAATTTGTGAAATAATTGTGCAGTAAAATAAGTTTTGTAATATAGTTAACTCAAAGAGATACTAGTTTTATTTCTTTATTTAGGCTACAATAAGATCATGAAGAATACAGAAAAATGTAAATTAACTTTTATTAAACTCCTACTAGGTCCTATAAGTAAAAACTATTTTCTGGTAATGTTTTGGGTCTGTCAAACTTTGTATAACAAAGAATAAATGTTTTAAGCACAAGTTTGTATATTTTTTACATCTAATTTTCTGATGTTTTGCCTCTGGTATATCAGGCATCTAGTGAACCATATAATATATGCCGTTTTACACATATTTTATCATGTTTTATAAATTGGTTGTTACACTAAGTAGGCCTATGAGATCTATAGCACAGAATATCAGGATCTCTTTCAAACCTTAAACTGTGGACATATTTCTCTTATAGACCTATTATAAAGAAGTGTAAATTGAGTTTATTGAATATTTTTAATCTACTTCACAACCATGTTGTAAATATTCATCATGAATAAATTAACTTTATTGTTAACCTCCATTTGTTTTTATTTTCATCTACCTAAATGTTTCTTATTGTTACTATTTTTAGTCACCTCACTATCATCAACCACCCATCCTACATGAAATATTGTCTTTTATTATTTTTTCCTCCAAATTAGCAAGTCCAGTACTGTTCTATTATTATAAAGATATTTTGTATACTTAATAGGATTTTATTTTTAAATAGATAGGAGTTATAGAAAAATGTAATGAAATGTTTCTAGAAGATTAAATAAATGTAGACGTAGGATGGGATAAATGCTGAACGTGACCAGGTCAGTAGGTCCTGGTACAAGGTCCTGTAACTTTGTTTTGTTATCTCTTCTGGGAAAGATGCAAGTCACATGTTATTGTTTTACTTTACCCAACCAGGAAGTAACGCCAGTGGTGTCACAAGGCTGAGACTTCAACTACCTTGCCAATACTAGACAACCATTATGAAAATTAATATCTACCACCATGTAGTAGACAGTCACAACCACTTGTCCACAGGATATTTTTTGTAATGGCCCTTATTAATGTGTCGAATCATAATGTCCTTGATCAGCTTGCTGCATATTCTCTTTTTTTTTTTTAGATCTTTTCATTCAGGCTACTGGGTGTCTGCATAGATTATATAGGCTATTTGTGTTTGTCTGTGGTTAATATGCTACTGGTGTCTGTGGATTATAGGTTGGTGATGTTTTGATGTAGAATCTGTGGATTAGGTTACTGGTGTCTGCCAGTGGATTATATGTTTATGGTGTCTGTGGATTATAGGTTAATGGTGTCTGTGGATTATAAGCTACTGGTGGATTAACTGTGGATTATAGTTTACTAGTGGCTGCCTGTGGATTAAAGCCTAATAGTGTCTGGCTATTTAGACTACCTGTGTCTGCACATGGATCATTTCAATGCAATCAAAACAAGAATGTTAAAAAAACAATGTGTTTATTTATCTTGCTGCACTTTGGTTCTATATTTAAACTATCTCTGCTACAGATGTATTTTCCTTTAGACTTTCGGTTACTTTCTGCTGCCCCGCCCACTAGTTGGTTACTGCACAAGTAGGTGAGATAGTTTATCTTCCTGTTACTTTTAGGTTTGTTTCAGATAATAAATCATTTGAGTTTCAGTGCATATGGTGTAGATAATCTATTTTTATGTTTCCCTGAATTGAATTATCTTATTTTTTTGGAAAATCTTAATAATAATAATGTTTATCTTTTAGTTTCATTTAGAGTATTAAAAAGCAATGCGTTATGCTAGTTAACAGTAGGCCATATGTAGAGTTAAACGTTGAGTCTAAAGCTAGTTTGATGGCTTATAAAGTCAAGGATCCATTAAACAAACATGAGCATAGAATAGTAGCGCAGGGAATCAGAGTTTCTTCCAGGCATCTCTTTTTTACCTCCACCCCCCCCCCCCCCCCCCCCCCTGAAAATTTCAAGTGCCCCCCCCCCCCCGGAGAAAAAAGTCTGGAAGAAACACTGCAGGGAATGTGCTTACATATACAGCCTATATATATATATATATATATATATATATATATATATATATATATATATATATATATATATATATACGCCTTATATATACGTTTTTAAGTATACCTACAAAAACGGCATATTTTAATTACATTAAAATGTGAAACATTGAAAGCAAAAACAAGCGCCATTAGCTGTTAGTGTACTTTAGACATGTTATTTTTTAGTTTGGTTCTATTCTCTACCCCCCCCCCCCTACTGCAAGCACACATACACACTCACATATATATATATATACGCCAGTAGTGTAGTAATTTTAGTTTATGTAAAGAGCTCGTCCTATTACCAAAAAAAAAAATGAAATTAAAATAGCTCGGAAGCAAAAGCACTTAATTTCACATGATGGCTCTTGTTGAGTTCTAACCACAGTGAGGTCACAGACGTATTAGAGGGTTTGCAAGCAGACATTGTTAATGAAATATCAATGTAAACAAAGTAATATTTTAAAGCCTTTGGAAGACACAGGTACCTAATATAAATATAGTCCCAGAAAGGCAGTGTCGTCTTCTAAGTTTCTAATTGTTGTGTGTTGGTCTATTCTCGCGGGGTCGGCGTGGTCGAGTCGGTAAAGCTCATGGTTGCTCAACTGAAAAGCCACTCTTCTAGGAGAGACCACTGTTTCTTCTAGGCATCTTCTCCCCCCCCCCCTGAAGAAAGTATACCAACCTCCCGAACGAAATGGAATTTATATAGAAAATATTAACAGTGTCCGCCCCCCGCCCCCCTCCCCTGAGAAAAACCTGGGAGAAACACTCCAGAATCAAATAACTGCTGCATCGTAGTTTGATTTTGGTTGGACAAAGGCTATGGAAGCAAATCCAAAAATAAAAGAAGGCTGAAGTCGGAGTCAACGGCCTCAATAACCAGTTGACATGTATAGGCCTACTTAATTGTGTTGGAGGGGATCCCTTCCAACATTAAAATTAAGAACGAAGAAGAAGAGAAAGAAGAAATAAGGTCTATTCTCAAAGAAATTTAGGCATTTTAAACAAAACCATCTTATTTCTGGCCAGGTGACCTTCTGGTTCAACGAAATATGCGTATGCGTAGTTTGCAGGTGTAAGCATACAGTTTACAGCTCACGTTGAGTTCTAGATCTATTTATAATATATCAAGGAGTCGTCGCAAAAAAGTCATCAGAAACGGTAACTCTGCTGCCATATCTAATCGCTAAATTTAGCATGGATTAAAACCCCTGAATTGTTTATGCCTCTCCATGTACACGGAGACGCACTGCGGGCTTTGTTTATCAGTTAATATCTGTAAAAAAGATCTATAGTAAAAAAAAAAATTAATAATCATAAGCTTTTATATACACTGAAAAAAAATTCCCTTGCTTTTTTGAGTAAGCATTGGTAGCTCTTGTAGTCGCTTATACAGTATACATTTTTGTGTGTTATTGTTTTCGTATTGTACGTGCGTTATGATGTTGACATGATTAACCTGTTGCAGGCCTTACATGTGTAATGATAAGCCCATGTCTAAAACATAGTATCGGTTACAATACATGCTGTAGACACAGCAAAACCGTAATCGTACAGGGGAGGCAACACACACACACAACACGAAGCAGATAGCACGGTATTATTTGCTCAAGTGCCAGCTATCTCTTACAAGTTGAACTCAACAGCTTTCAAAAACACTGTTGTTGTGACCGATTTCTGCGGGTAGGGGACAAGGCGGGAGGGGGGGGGGGAAGAAAGCATGAACACATGTCGATTAGACTTTTATTGTGTAATGTAATTAGTATCACAGTTAATTTCAGTGTTTATTTCAAAGCTAAGTTATGGGATTGGGAATAAAAGCTGTGTTTTGCTTTGTTGCTTTGTTTTCTGTTGGTCTGGGTTCAGGTATGTCTTGTCTTAATTTTATATATATAAATAAGTAGCATATTAGAGTGGTTTCAGATGGATCTATGAAAGTTGTTTAACAGAAACAATGTTAGTTTAACCAAATATTCACATAACTACAATGTTAAAATTAAAATAAAACCGATATGTTTCCACTTGATATGTAAGGCATTTAAATGGCTAGGGCATATAAATAATCGTAGGGCATATGGGCTTTAGGGCATGTAAACAAGCACAGGGTATATAGATAGTTAGGGCATTTAAACACGCACATGGCATATAGACCGTAAGGGTATGTAACAGGATATATAGATATTTAGGATATATAATTATCCAATCAAATGATGTCATATTGTGCATTAAAATTTTATAACACATTTACCCCCCCCCCCCCCCGTCCCAGAGCTGCGGTGTACGAGTGACGTTTAGGCAGACATCCTCTTCATCATTAAACTTTTATAACACATTTATCCCCACCCCCCCCCCCCCCCCCAGAGCTGCGGTGTACGAGTGACGTTGAGGCAGACATCCTCTTCATCATCGACTCCTCCTACAGTATCGTGTCACGTGACTTCCACCTGATGCTGACCTTCGTGGCCAACCTGACCGACTACTTTATGCTGGGACCTGGCCACATCCAGTTCAGCGCCCTGACCTTCTCTAGCAAGGTCACCCACCTCTTTGACTTCGGCACCTACACGGATCACACGGCCCTCAGGGACGTGAGTACCTCATGCGTGCACCTAGGCTTGCTGAGCCAGTAGATATGTCTTGTTATGGTTAGATACGTGCCCCCCCCCCCCCCTAGCTTGATGTACCAGTAGATATGTCTTGCTATGGTTAGATATGTGCCTCACTTACTATACCAGTAGATATGTCTTGTTATGGTTAGATACGTGCCCCCCCCCCTAGCTTGATGTACCAGTAGATATGTCTTGTTATGGTTAGATACGTGCCCCCAGCTTACTTTACCAGTAGATCTGTCTTGTTATGGTTAGATACGTGCCCCTAGTAGATCTGTCTTGTTATGGTTAGATACGTGCCTTCCCCTCCCCAGCTTACTTTACCAGTAGATCTGTCTTGTTATGGTTAGATACGTGCCCCCAGCTTACTTTACCAGTAGATCTGTCTTGTTATGGTTAGATACGTGCCCCCAGCTTACTTTACCAGTAGATCTGTCTTGTTATGGTTAGATACGTGCCCCTAGTAGATCTGTCTTGTTATGGTTAGATACGTGCCTTCCCCTCCCCAGCTTACTTTACCAGTAGATCTGTCTTGTTATGGTTAGATACGTGCCTTCCCCTCCCCAGCTTACTTTACCAGTAGATCTGTCTTGTTATGGTTAGATACGTGCCTTCCCCCCCCCCAGCTTACTTTACCAGTAGATCTGTCTTGTTATGGTTAGATACGTGCCTTCCCCTCCCCAGCTTACTTTACCAGTAGATCTGTCTTGTTATGGTTAGATACGTGCCTTCCCCTCCCCAGCTTACTTTACCAGTAGATCTGTCTTGTTATGGTTAGATACGTGCCTTCCCCCCCCCCAGCTTACTTTACCAGTAGATCTGTCTTGTTATGGTTAGATACGTGCCTCTCCCCCCCGGGCTTACTTTACCAGTAGATCTGTCTTGTTATGGTTAGATACGTGCCCCTAGTAGATCTGTCTTGTTATGGTTAGATACGTGCCTCCCCCCCAGCTTACTTTACCAGTAGATCTGTCTTGTTATGGTTAGATACGTGCCCCCAGCTAACTTTACCAGTAGATCTGTCTTGTTATGGTTAGATACGTGCCCCTAGTAGATTTGTCTTGTTATGGTTAGATACGTGCCTTCACCCCCAGCTTACTTTACCAGTAGATCTGTCTTGTTATGGTTAGATACGTGCCCCCAGCTTACTTTACCAGTAGATCTGTCTTGTTATGGTTAGATACGTGCCCCTAGTAGATCTGTCTTGTTATGGTTAGGTACGTGCCCAGTAGATCTGTCTTGTTATGGTTAGATACGTGCCTCCCCCCCCAGCTTACTTTACCAGTAGATCTGTCTTGTTATGGTTAGATACGTGCCCCCAGCTTACTTTACCAGTAGATCTGTCTTGTTATGGTTAGATACGTGCCCCTAGTAGATTTGTCTTGTTATGGTTAGATACGTGCCTTCCCCCCCAGCTTACTTTACCAGTAGATCTGTCTTGTTATGGTAAGATACGTGCCCCCAGCTTACTTTACCAGTAGATCTGTCTTGTTATGGTTAGATACGTGCCCCTAGTAGATCTGTCTTGTTATGGTTAGGTACGTGCCCAGTAGATCTGTCTTGTTATGGTTAGATACGTGCCTCCCCCCCCAGCTTACTTTACCAGTAGATCTGTCTTGTTATGGTTAGATACGTGCCCCCAGCTTACTTTACCAGTAGATCTGTCTTGTTATGGTTAGATACGTGCCCCTAGTAGATCTGTCTTGTTATGGTTAGATACGTGCCTCCCCCCAGCTTATTTTACCAGTAGATCTGTCTTGTTATGGTTAGATACGTGCCCCCAGCTTACTTTACCAGTAGATCTGTCTTGTTATGGTTAGATACGTGCCCCTAGTAGATTTGTCTTGTTATGGTTAGATACGTGCCCCTAGTAGATCTGTCTTGTTATGGTTAGGTACGTGCCCAGTAGATCTGTCTTGTTATGGTTAGATACGTGCCTCCCCCCCCCCCAGCTTACTTTACCAGTAGATCTGTCTTGTTATGGTTAGATACGTGCCCCCAGCTTACTTTACCAGTAGATCTGTCTTGATATGGTTAGATACTTGCCCCTAGTAGATTTGTCTTGTTATGGTTAGATACGTGCCCCTAGTAGATCTGTCTTGTTATGGTTAGATACGTGCCCCTAGTAGATCTGTCTTGTTATGGTTAGATACGTGCCCCTAGTAGATCTGTCTTGTTATGGTTAGGTACGTGCCCAGTAGATCTGTCTTGTTATGGTTAGATACGTGCCCCCTGTACCAGTAGATCTGTCTTGTTATGGTTAGATACGTGCCCCCTGTACCAGTAGATCTGTCTTGTTATGGTTAGATACGTGCCCCCAGCTTACTTTACCAGTAGATCTGTCTTGTTATGGTTAGATACGTGCCTTCCCCCCCCCCCAGCTTACTTTACCAGTAGATCTGTCTTGCTATGGTTATATACGTGCCTCCCCCCCCCCAGCTTACTTTACCAGTAGATCTGTCTTGTTATGGTTAGATACGTGCCCCCAGCTTACTTTACCAGTAGATCTGTCTTGTTATGGTTAGATACGTGCCCCCAGCTTACTTTACCAGTAGATCTGTCTTGTTATGGTTAGATACGTGCCCCCAGCTTACTTTACCAGTAGATCTGTCTTGTTATGGTTAGATACGTGCCTTCCCCCCCCCAGCTTACTTTACCAGTAGATCTGTCTTGTTATGGTTAGATACGTGCCTTCCCCCCCCCCCCCCAGCTTACTTTACCAGTAGATCTGTCTTGTTATGGTTAGATACGTGCCTTCCCCCCCCCCAGCTTACTTTACCAGTAGATCTGTCTTGTTATGGTTAGATACGTGCCTTCCCCCCCTCCCCGCTTACTGTACAAGTAGATAGGTCTTGTGGTTAGATACGTGCACCCCCCCCCCCCCCCCTACTGTACCAGTGGATTTGTCTTGTGATAGAGAGATTTTAGAATCGCTAACCTGTTCCTTATCGTATCATGAACATAACATGAACGTTGATATATTCCTGATCCTAGACTTGACTTGAACCCATACTGTGTGGGTAAATGAATTCTAAACCAATCATTCCGAGATTTGCCACTGTAACATGTATTCTCTCCATTCCTTGCGTAAGTTATGGCATGTGGTAAGACTTAGTTCGGTGTTTTATATTTTTGTAGAAGGAAAACTGTTAAAACAATAGTTTGAGAACAAATGAATGGAAAATAAAGTAGATGAGGTTTGGCTAATCAGCCAAAGGATTTTTATTTCTTAAAATCAGGCGGGGTATCAAAATATTTGAGATTGCCATGACCATTGCCCTGACTTTAACCATAATCCCGAGCCTTCAAATGTCGATACTGGGTCATCATTACCTTTTCCTTGTTATGCCCAAGATACATGGGACCGCCACAGAAAGCTCCCTCCACTTTGTCGGTCACCGTCAATTTTCCTGTTAGTCCACAATGACAGACCTGCCTCTACTAGCTTTCTCCCCACTTCTGCCTTAACCTTCCCTGAAGTAACCTGTCGGAAATCATAGCAGCACATCTAGACTTTCTGTGACGTAAGACAAATCATTTCAGGCCATCTTAAGAACCAACAAAACCGCTGGAGGATCCCTCACAAAGCTGGCCCTAGAGTACGCCAGAAAATATTCCTTCACCCCGTCCCACGGAGCCCGCCCGGGTGTCCCAAAAATCGCCATAGTTCTGACCGATGGTGAGTCGAGCAGCTTGACCCAGACGAGCGAGGAGGCGGCGTTTCTGAAAGCGCTTGGTGTCCACACCATCGCCATCGGCATAGGGCCCTACAACATCCAGGAGCTGCTGTCCATTGCTTGGTCAGAGGACAACGTGTTTACGTCACATGACTTTTATTTCCTCAACAGCCTGCAAGGGGCCGTCAACAATAAAACATGTTCAGAAGGTAAGTTTACTTTATAAAGGTTGGTTGAATGGCCGTCAATACTAAAGTATGTTCAGAAGGTAAGTTTTAAAGGTTGGTTGAATGGCCGTCAATACTAAAGTATGTTCAGAAGGTAAGTTTTAAATGTTGGTTGAATAGCCGTCAATACTAAAGTATGTTCAGAAGGTAAGTTTTAAAGGTTGGTTGAATGGCCGTCAACAATAAAACATGTACAGAAGGTAAGTTTTCTTTACAAAGGCTACTTGAGAGTAACGATGACCATGAGATTTTTAAGGAAGAAAATCACGAATTATTTCTGATGTATTATATAATATTGTAGATTTGCATTTTAAAAAATATTGTAAAAAATTATTTTAAAAACACTTTTAAACTATTTTAAATATTGTGAAGACATATAATTTTTCTCATTAAAATAAAAACATATTTTGTTCGATCATTGCAACAGTGTGTAGAAACAAATATTTCTGAGCTTAAGATAAGGTATAGGGTTTAGAAACAAATATTTCTGAGCTTAAGCCAGACAACAGTGTGTAGAAACAAATATTTCTGAGCTTAAGACAGTGAACAGGGTGTAAAAACAAAATATTTCTGAGCTTAAGACAGGGAACAGGGTGTAAAAACAAAATATTTCTGAGCTTAAGACAGGGAACAGGGTGTAAAAACAAAATATTTCTGAGCTTAAGACAGTGAACAGGGTGTAAAAACAAAATATTTCTGAGCTTAAGACAGTGAACAGGGTGTAAAAACAAAATATTTCTGAGCTTAAGACAGTGAACAGGGTGTAAAAACAAAATATTTCTGAGCTTAAGACAGTGAACAGGGTGTAAAAACAAAATATTTCTGAGCTTAAGACAGTGAACAGGGTGTAAAAACAAAATATTTCTGAGCTTAAGACAGTGAACAGGGTGTAAAAACAAAATATTTCTGAGCTTAAGACAGGGAACAGGGTGTAAAAACAAAATATTTCTGAGCTTAAGACAGTGAACAGGGTGTAAAAACAAAATATTTCTGAGCTTAAGACAGTGAACAGGGTGTAAAAACAAAATATTTCTGAGCTTAAGACAGGGAACAGGGTGTAAAAACAAAATATTTCTGAGCTTAAGACAGTGAACAGGGTGTAAAAACAAAATATTTCTGAGCTTAAGACAGGGAACAGGGTGTAAAAACAAAATATTTCTGAGCTTAAGACAGTGAACAGGGTGTAAAAACAAAATATTTCTGAGCTTAAGACAGTGAACAGGGTGTAAAAACAAAATATTTCTGAGCTTAAGACAGTGAACAGGGTGTAAAAACAAAATATTTCTGAGCTTAAGACAGTGAACAGGGTGTAAAAACAAAATATTTCTGAGCTTAAGACAGGGAACAGGGTGTAAAAACAAAATATTTCTGAGCTTAAGACAGTGAACAGGGTGTAAAAACAAAATATTTCTGAGCTTAAGACAGTGAACAGGGTGTAAAAACAAAATATTTCTGAGCTTAAGACAGTGAACAGGGTGTAAAAACAAAATATTTCTGAGCTTAAGACAGTGAACAGGGTGTAAAAACAAAATATTTCTGAGCTTAAGACAGTGAACAGGGTGTAAAAACAAAATATTTCTGAGCTTAAGACAGTGAACAGGGTGTAAAAACAAAATATTTCTGAGCTTAAGACAGTGAACAGGGTGTAAAAACAAAATATTTCTGAGCTTAAGACAGTGAACAGGGTGTAAAAACAAAATATTTCTGAGCTTAAGACAGTGAACAGGGTGTAAAAACAAAATATTTCTGAGCTTAAGACAGTGAACAGGGTGTAAAAACAAAATATTTCTGAGCTTAAGACAGTGAACAGGGTGTAAAAACAAAATATTTCTGAGCTTAAGACAGTGAACAGGGTGTAAAAACAAAATATTTCTGAGCTTAAGACAGTGAACAGGGTGTAAAAATAAAATTTTTCTGAGCTTAATACAGACAACAGGGTGTAGAAGACTATGCAGAAGACTTGTTTTTGTTGCAGTGATCAGGGCACAGTGCAAGGAGCTGGCCGATATAATCCTAATCCTAGACTCCTCCACAACATTCCCGGAGCCGCTCTTCCTCTCCCAGCTGGACTTTGCCGGCAAACTGACAAGACAGTTTGACATAGGTGTCAATGACGTCCGTTTTGCCGCTGTTCTGATTTCGACGCAGCCAATCAAATTATTTGATCTGAAGACGTACGCTGGTCACGTGACCTTGCTCAATGTAGGTCACCTACTGATTTAAATTTTTTATTCTTGTTGTGGTTCTAAAACGACACCGTTTTCTTGTTACCTTGTTACTCAACAAGTTTTAATACATTAAATTATCTGTAACGCTTTTTTTCATTTACTTTAGCTGGAACATGTTTAAATTTAAACAATAATCTTGACATGCCGTGTCGCTCAGGTTTTGTATTTGTCAGTGCTTCTTCCAGACTTTTTTTCTCCGGGGGGGGGGGGGCACTTTAAATTTTCGGGGGGGGGGGGGTAGACTTTCTACTCGGTTAAAAGTATATATTTACTATATAAATTTCATTTCGTTCGGAGGGGGGGGGGGGAGAATAGACCTTTTTCGGGAGGGGGGGGGGGGGGCGAATGCCTGGAAGAAACTCTGGTATGTGTAAACTTGAATGTGCTGCTGCTATTTAAACAATTATTTTGTGTGTAATGTCGTTCAGGCTCTGAATGTCGTACTATTTAAACAATTATTGTATGTGTTCAGTCTCTGAATGTCGTACTATTTAAACAATTATTTTGTCTGTTCAGGCTCTGAATGTCGTACTATTTAAACAATTATTGTATGTGTTCAGTCTCTGAATGTCGTACTATTTAAACAATTATTTTGTCTGTTCAGGCTCTGAATGTCGTACTATTTAAACAATTATTTTGTCTGTTCAGGCTCTGAATGTCGTACTATTTAAACAATTATTTTGTCTGTTCAGGCTCTGAACGCAACACAGTACCAAGCAGGCGATCAGAACACGTCAGCGGCCATCCAGGTCATCATGACCCAGCACATGTTCAGTCCTGCCAACGGCGGACGGCAAAACGCCACCAAGATCCTCATCATCATGACCGATGGTCACTCAATTGACCCACTGGCTGGTATGTTGTTATTCTACCTCGACCGTCTTGACGGCCAACCCTGTGTACTAGCCAGAGTGGCATGTCTTGTGTACTAGTCTGCTTTTCCTTACCCAAGTCGTCTAGACGGCCGATTCTAAGTACTACCCTGATGTATCGTTTTTACCTCAGCCGTCCAGTCGGCCGACGAGTTAAAACGAGACGGTACCCACATCATGTCCATCGGGGTGGGTGACAACCTTGACCTTGACCAACTTCGAGCCCTGGCCAGCAGTGACGACAACGTCTTCCAGGCCCCGTCACGTGATGTGCTCGAGCTGATCCAGGAGCAGGTGGCCAACAGGACCTGTCAGTGTGAGTAGTCGGTTAGTTGTGTGAGTAGTCGGTTAGTTGTGTGAGTAGTCGGTTAGTTGTGTGAGTAGTCGGCTAGTTGTGTGAGTATTCGGTTAGTTGTGTGAGTAGCTGGCTAGTTGTGTGAGTAGCTGGCTGGTTGTGTGAGTAGTCAGTTAGTTGTGTGAGTAGTCTGCTGTTGTTTGAGTAGTCTGCGAGTTGTGTGAATAGCCTGCTGGTTTTTGTGAGTAGTTAGCTTGTTGTGTGAGTTGTCGGCTGGTTGCGTGAGTAGTCGGCTGGTTTTGTGAGTAGTCGGCTGGTTGTGTGAGTAGTCGTTTAGTTGTGTGAGTAGCATGCTGGTTGTGTGTGTAGTCTGCTGGTTGTTTGAGTAGTCTGCGGGTTGTGTGAATATCCTGCTGGTTTTGTGGCTAGTTATGTGAGTAGTCGGTTAGTTGTGTGAGTAGTTGGCTAATTGTGTGAGTAGTCGGTTAGTTGTGTAAGTAGTCGGCTGGTTGTGTGAGTAGTCGGCTGGTTGTGTGAGTAGTCGGTTGGAAGTGTGAGTAGTCGGTTAGTTGTGAGAGTTGTCGGTTAGTTGTGTGAGTAGCATGCTGGTTGTTTGAGTAGTCTGCGAGTTGTGTGAGTAGCCTGCTGGTTGTGTAAGTAGTCGGCTGGTTGTGTGAGTAGTATGCTGGTTGTGTGAGTAGCATGCTGGTTGTGTGAGTAGTTGGCTAGTTTTGTGAGTAGCCTGCTGGTTGTGTGAGTAGCCTGCTGGTTGTGTGAGTAGTCGGCTGGTTGTGTGAGTAGCCGGCTGGTTGCGTGGGTAGTCGGCTGGTTATGAGAGTAGCCATTTGGTTGTGTGGGTATTGTAAAACGTATTATTTGTTTTATGGCAATTTCTAAATTTCATTCCACAGTACATTTTGATGAGCAATATGGTGAGTAGAATTTTGTTGCTGAAACGTTTAGATAGGGTGTACTTTTTAGCGCAATTTCCATTCTGGAGAATTGCGTTTATTAACTCGTCATTTCTGGGAATGGATGGATGAATGGATGGATGAATGTATGAATGTATGGATGAATGTGTGTCCGGGCTTTAAGTCGTATCTCCTCCTCAACGAAGCAATATCGATGACTAGTTCCAAAAGCATATATGTTAAGCAAGTTACGAGGATGAACATAGGCCATAAAAATTACGGGTTTCTTTCATGGATTTCCCGGAAAAGCCAAAAAACCTCGAAAAAATGCAGTTTTTGGCCCATATCTCGGCAACTAGACCACTAAGCGACTTGAAACATGTACCAATCGATTCCTGCCATAATTTAGAACAATATTGCCGAAGAAAGTTTTCAAAAATATCCTTTCGTTCGGTCACAAAAATTTTTTTTAATTAATTAAAATTTGGACCGAATTAGTAGGCATTTTTTCCAACCACACCACACGCGTCATCACGTTCAATAGCTGCGCCATCGCGTTCCATGGCTGCGCCATCACGTTCAGTAGGCGCGCAATGGTTTTTAGTCATGTAACTCTATTGTAAATAAAACATGTAAAATACTGAAAAAAATTAATAAAAAACGTTTTAATAACTAACAAATGGTTTTACTAACCCTGCTCTTGATTTACGCTACGTCAGAGCTATTTTTAGATAACATAAGGAAATTGCGCTAAAATTGTCACTAGACTTTTTAATTACCTTGTTTATAACTTAGACGAATTCCAGTTATGTCACACCGAAGCTTAGCTTAACCTAACAGTAAATTTAAAAGCTAACTGTATAAATATACTATTATGCATAGATTTATCGCAAACTTTATACAGTTTAACCCTCTTTATACCAGCCTGTGCAGTTTAACCCTCTATAGATCAGCCAGTACAGTTTAACCCTCTATAGACCAGCCAGTACAGTTTAACCTTATATAGACATGCCAGTATAGTTTAACCGTCTATGAGCCAGACTGTGTGGTGTAACCCTCTATAGACCAGCTTGTATAGCTAAAACCTATATAGACCAGCCTGTATAGCTTAACCTTCTGTAGACCAGCCTGTGCAGTTTAACCCTCTATAGACCCGCCTAAATAGTTTAACCCTCTATAGACCAGCCTGTATAACTTAACCCTATATAGACCAGCCTGTGTAGCTTAACCCTCTATAGACCCGCCTAAATAGTTTAACCCTCTACAGACCAGCTTGTATAGCTTAACCCTCTATCACCAGACCTCTCAGAGATCTGCGAGAAGAACAACTGGTCCACCAGCAACCACTCCCACCCCACCAACTGCAGCATGTACATCGAGTGCCGGCTCTACGTCACGCATGAGCAGAGCTGTCCAGCAGGTCAAGCCTTCCTGGCCCCCCACTGTCAGCCGTTGGAGCATGTCCCCTCATGTCACGGTTCGTTCTATTTTTAGCATTCTTCGATAACTTCATGTTTGTGTTCACTATTAAACTTATTAAAATCTCAAACTTTTAATATTCTATTTTTTAAAAATCCAATATAATATTCTAACTTAAAATGTAAAATTACTTTTAACCATAACTATAACTATACAAAATAGAATTATAAATGAACAGAACAATATAATGTTGGCTTAAATTATTCAAATAAAGGAGAAACAACCCTAGCGAGAAGCAGATATCACCCTATTTAAATTAAACATAACACCAAGTGGAGTTGTCAGAGATTTCACTGTTTATTTCTTACTTACCAGTGGATATTATTTAACACCAGACCCGCACGCTTACTGAAACATGTCGAACAGTAATTTTTTTGTCTTCTACAGCAACACCGACCACAACATCCCCGACAACATCCCCGACAACATCCCCAACAACATCCCCGACGCCGCACACCACCACCCCCCGCCCTGACCTGAGCATTGCCAATATATGTTTTGAGAACCACTGGGCCAACGGCCTCCACCCCCACCCCTCAGACTGCACCTTATTCATCCAGTGCCTGGACTACACCACGTACATCATCGATTGTCCAACCGGCCTCGTTTTCGACCCAACCAAAGTTCAATGCACGGACCCAGCTGAGGCTGAGCCATGTAACGATAACTGGACCAGGCAGCCTACTACAACAACTGCGGCGTCAAATTTGATAAGTAATATTAACATTTTTAAAAATATGTTAGTTTCTTCTGCCCCGTAGTTTTAGTGGACGGACGGGGAGCTACTAGTTTCCTTCTGATCGTTTTCCGCAATTCCACTCAGTTCCCCGTTATTCTCATTGCCTCTCACATTAATCCCGTCCAGTCCCTACCGTAGACGGTTCATGACTTGAGTTTTGACGGAGGGTAGGGGCTAGGCACCCACACGCTCATTCAGCTCCTCCTATACATGAGGCTGAATACTTTCAATGATAAAAGATTAAGAGATAATCACTGGTATAGTTAGAGTGTTGTGATAATGAAAAGGGGTAAAAGGGGTTTCGTTAATAAACAGATATAATTACAAACAAAATTACAAAATGTACCAAAAGTTAAAAGAATATAGCGTATATCCGCCTATTTAGCGTTTAAAAATGTTAAATTTTAATTCCAAATTATGTGCGAATTTGTAATTCGCCAAGTGCCATTAAAAAAGTAGACTACGCAAACAGAATAAGTATTAAATTATGTATTTAAGTTTATTTAGACGTTACTATAAAAAGGATTGTGGTTGGGGGGGGGGGGGGGGAAATACTGTCGATCATTTAGGAGAGTCGGTGTTAGCCCAATATTCTCAGTAGTGTAGACTTATGTAAGAATTGGCTTCGTTAGAATAATTATGTGGTGCTACACTTTTACATAATTATGTGGTCCTACACTTTTACATAAGTATGTGGTCCTACACTTTTACATAATTATGTGGTCCTAAACTTTTACCTAATTATGTGGTCCTACACTTTTACCTAATTATGTGGTCCTATAATTTTACCTAATTATGTGGTCCTATAATTTTACCTAATTATGTGGTCCTACACTTTTACCTAATTATGTGGTCCTATTCGTTTTCAACTTAAAATGTCGACTTAGAAATGTAAATCTGCAATTGTTTTGTTTTTTCAATGTTAATAATAAGTGATGGACTAATCCAGTTCCCGGGATTGTTAACTTTAGTCACTGTTGAGATCTTTAGTCACTGTTGTGAACTTTAGTCTTTGGTTTAGGCGTATTCCAGTTTAGTAGCTACTGGCAGCTTTTATTTCTATTTGGAGGTTAGGTAATTGTTGATAGGTTTACTCAATGTTGATGTTAAGTAAATGTTGATAGGCTTAGTCAATGTTGATGTTAAGTAAATGTTGACAGGTTTACTCAATGTTGATGTTAAGTAAATGTTGATAGGCTTAGTCAATGTTGATGTTAAGTAAATGTTGACAGGTTTACTCAATGATGATGTTAAGTAAATGTTGATAGGTTTACTCAATGTTGAGGTTTAGTCACTGTTGGCGGGCTAAATCACGAGAGGTTTGGTCCCTGTTGAACGGAGTCGTCACCGTTGACAAGATCAATGAAAACAGGTTTACCAACTGATCTCTTATCTTACAAAACATTATGTTTGAATTTGTCAAATTGTTATCATTAATAGTAATAGAGCCATATACTAAGCTAACGGGTCAAAAAGGTAAGTTCTTCCTTGTGCAGCATATCATAAGCACGATAAAAGATCTGATTAGCTGTCCAATAAGAATAGACCGCCATACAAATCAAAAGTTGGTGATAAGGCCACGGTATAAAGCCGTCAAGGAAGTTAGAGGATCTGTCAATATCAGACAAACACCCAGACAAAATGTCTGCCATGCTGGGGTGTCTTGCTTGTGTCTGTCTGGTGCTCCTGGGTGCTCCTGTGACAGGTGAGTAGATAGTAAGTCTAGTTAATTCACAGGTGTAAGACAGACAGGTGTAAAATAGAGACAATTGTAAGAGAAAGGTGTAAAAAAGACAGGTGCACAACAGACAGGTGTAAAAGAGACAGGTGTAAAAGAGACAGGTGTAAAAGAGACAGGTGTAAAAGAGACAGGTGTAAAAGAGACAGGTGTAAAAGAGACAGGTGTAAAAGAGACAGGTGTAAAAGAGACAGGTGTAAAAGAGACAGGTGTAAAAGAGACAGGTGTAAAAGAGACAGGTGTGAACAAATAGGTATTAATGAGACAGGAGTTAACGATACAGATGTAAAAGAGACAGGTGTAAAAGAGACAGGTGTAAAAGAGACAGGTGTAAAAGAGACAGGTCTAAAAGAGACAGGTGTAAAACAGACAGGTGTTAAACAAACAGGTGTTAAACAAACAGGTGTTAAATAGACAGGTGTAAAACAATGGCACTGTGGGTGAGTACATAGTTTGTTAAAAAAAAACGCTGTGGCTATTGAAACGTTCAAGAATCAAAAAACATTCCGCATGTTTCTGAGCCACAGCAATTCAATTCATGTAACAACAGCTCTTTAGTTACTGAAATATAACATGCTCTATTTTGGCGTGCTTTTTCCTTGTAATACTTGTATGTTTGGGTCACCTAGTGTGCAGTCCCATCTCTATACCGTGTTAGCCGGCTAAAACTGAATAAAATCAAGCGGTACAAAACTCATGAAACTCTAGCGAAACCATTGTTATTTGTATAATCATAGCGAACTACATCTATAGTTCTTTCTCTTGTACTTAAAATAAACCCAGGTAATCAGAGGTTCTCAATCAGACCCCCCCCCCCCCAACCAAAAAAACACTTTCACACATTCCCACCCACTCTCATCCCTGTTACTTTAAGTAACGCGTCGTAATTCCTACTACTATAAAATCCACATATAAACGCATCATGAGTCCCGACAATGTGTTTTAGTGCACCATTTTAGAACCACTGTAGTCGTGCACCTAAGAACACTGTGTTAGAGAAAAGACGAAGAGAGATAACTCTTATAGACTTGAAGCAAGGGAGACAACTTTGGACTGACTTGAAGAGCCCTAGAGAGTCCGTCATCTAACCTATCGGTTGATAAAAGACGGCATGGCACTTGGCTGATACACGAGTCGTTTGATGTAATGAAAGTTATCTAATCGTCTGCTTCGCTGGTGGGTGAAGGATGGGTGGGTGGTCATGGTATTGGGATGGGGGGGGGGTGTCGAGTTGACTTTTCGTAAAAAAGAAATTGTGTCGCTGTTTCTTAAAACGCCGTCCAATTAAAATATGACTCAAGTAAATTGTATCTGTCTAGAAGATAACAATTTTGAACCACATAAAAGAAGTAGTCATTGAAGAAATATCACCCCCACCTCTGAATAAATGAGCATGAAAGTCTATGAAGATGTGTGTTTGTGTGTGTGTGTCTGGTTGTTTAAATTTGCAATTGTTTTAACTTCATTTTTATGTTTGTGTGTGTGTGTGTGTCTGTTTTAGTGTGTGTGTCTGTTTATATTTGCTGAAGTCTTAACCCCAGTATCGTGTGTGTGTGTGTTAGTCTGTGTGTTTCCTTATATTTGCTGTTGTTTTAACCACAGTATTGTGTGTGTGTGTGTGTGTTAGTCTGTGTGTCTGCTTAAATTTGCTGTTGTTTTTACCCCAGTATCATGTGTATGTGTTAGTGTGTGTGTTAGTGTATGTTTTAGTATGTGTGTCTGCTTATATCTGCTGTTGTTGTAACCCCAGTATCGTGTGTGTGTGTGTGTGTGTGTGTGTGTGTCTATGTGTCTGCTTATATTTGCTGTTGTTTTTACCCCAGTTTCAGCAGACGACACTACCCTCTGTCGGGACAACAACTGGGCGACGGGCACCCACCCCCACCCCACCCTGTGTGACCGCTACGTCATCTGTAACGCCTTCAACACCATCATCGTCCAGTGCACTGACGGCAACGTGTACGACCCAGTGCGGCTCGTCTGTGTGCACCCCAGCATTGCCGCACCGTGCAATGACGCCAAGACGACGGTGGCATCCTTCGTCACAGGGGGTAAGTTCTACCACATTCTGTTTATTAAATTATTTATTTTTTAGAACAATGCCAAAACATTAATTGCGTCTTACTTTTTTTTTATTTATTTATTTTTATTCATCAGCGAGTGTTAAAGTATTGCTAGCAAAATTTTTATTTTTCCTTTATTTTTGTTGATTTATAAAAGAGTGGAGTGGAGAGTTTTTAAAATAATGAACTTCTTTATGATCGATCGCTTGTAGTATGCATCAAAAAGTTATTTTAAAAACATTACTTGAAATATAAATGATTAAAAATATTTTTCTTAACTATAACGTAAACATAAACATGAATTACCTCCCTTACATGTCTATCATATTTTGATAACCTCCCTTACCCCTACATCTGATGATTCTCCCAGCCTCTGCCTGCACGACAACCGCCCGGGGTGACATCCTCTTCATCATGGACTCCTCCTCCAGCATCGGCATCTCCAACCACACCAGGCAGCTCCAGTTCGTGTCCGACCTGACCACCAACTTCCCCCTGGGCCCCAACAACATCCAGTTCAGCGCCATCATCTTCGCCTCAGACGCTCACAGCGTCTTCCCATTCAACGCCTACTACGACCACAACAGCTTAAGAAGTGTAGGTCAAGTTGTTAGTGTTGCAGACTTTGTTTAGACCTGCTATCAGGTGCTTAACGCCGCCTTAACAAAACGGAATTTACGGTGTAGATCTAATAGAATTTTGAAAAAAAAAAACTCTAATAGAATAGAATTACCTTGAATTGAAATGTTCTAAATATATTCTTGTATGGTGTATGTAAGAAGGATGAGGGTTGGGTTTTTTTCCTTCCAGCTCGCCTTATTTCCATATTATATATATATATATATATATATATATATATATATATATATATATATATATATATATATATATATATATATATATATATATATATATAATTTCTCCAAGTTCTGTAGCTGCTCCATTTCAAATATTTCCAAACATTACACCCACCATTTAAAACATTTATTAACATCCCATGTCCCCACCATTTCAAATATTTATAAACATTCCATCTCCCCACCAGGCCATCATGAACATTGGCTACCTTGGCTCCAACACCAACACCTTCACGGCCCTAGAATTGGCCAGAACAACCTCCTTCACCAGTGCCTCGGGGTCCCGCAACGACGTGCCGCACGTGGCCATCGTCATCACGGACGGGCTATCCAGCGACATGAACCGCACCATACAGGAGGCCAGGATACTGAAGAATCTCAACGTCAAAATCCTCTCCATCGGCATCGCTGACGCCCACAGGGAGGAACTGGTGGGCATCGCCTCCACCGTGCAGGACGTGTTCCAGGCCGACAGCTACGTCGTCCTGCCCACACTGCAGCATGAGGTCTCTTCTCAGACCTGCAACCAAGGTCAGGCTAGGGCTTGGTGTTATGGTGGGGATAGGGCTGGGTGTCATGGTGGGGCTTGGGCTTGGTGTCATAGGGCTTGGTGTCATGGTGGGGATAGGGCTTGGTGTCATAGTGGGGTTAGGGCTTGGTGTCATGGTGGGAATAGGGCTTGGTGTTATGGTGTGGATAGGGCTTGGTGTCATGGTGGGGGTAGGGCTTGGTGTCATAGTGGGGCTAGGGCTTGTTGTCATGGTTGGGATAGGGCTTGGTGTCATAGTGGGGTTAGGGCTTGGTGTCATGGTGGGGCTAGGGCTTGGTGTCATGGTGGGGATAGGGCTTGGTGTCATGGTGGGGATAGGGCTTGGTGTTATGGTGGGGCTAGGGCTTGGTGTCATAGTGGGGCTAGGGCTTGGTGTCATAGTGGGGTTAGGGCTTGGTGTCATGGTGGGGCTAGGGCTTGGTGTCATGGTGGGGATAGGGCTTGGTGTTATGGTGGGGCTAGGGCTTGGTGTCATAGTGGGGCTAGGGCTTGGTGTCATAGTAGGGATAGGGCTTGGTGTCAGAGCGAGGCTAGGGCTTGGTGTCATGGTGGGGCTAGGGCTTGGTGTCATGGTGGGGCTAGGGCTTGGTGTCATGGTGGGGCTAGGGCTTGGTGTCATGGTGGGGCTTGGGCTTGGTGTCATAGGGCTTGGTGTTATGGTGGGGCTAGGGCTTGGTGTCATAGTGGGGCTAGGGCTTGGTGTCATGGTGGGGCTAGGGCTTGGTGTTATGGTGGGGATAGGGCTGGGTGTCATGGTGGGGCTAGGGCTTGGTGTCATGGTGGGGCTAGGGCTTGGTGTCATGGTTGGGATATGGCTTGGTGTCATGGTGGGGTTAGGGCTTGGTGTCATAGTGGGGCTAGGGCTTGGTGTCATGGTGGGGCTAGGGCTTGGTGTCATAGTGGGGATAGGGCTTGGTGCCATGGTGGGGATAGGGCTTGGGTCATGGTGGGGATAGGGCTTGGTGTCATGGTGGGGATAGGGCTTGGTGTCATGGTGGGGATAGGGCTTGGTGTCATGGTGGGGATAGGGCTTGGTGTTTTAGAGCGAGGCTAGGGCTTGTTGTCATAGTGGGGCTAGCGCTTGGTGTCATGGTGGGGCTAGGTCTTGGTGTTATGGCGGGGATAGGGCTTGGTGTCATAGTGGGGATAGGACTTGGTGTCATAGTGAGGCTCATGCATATATAAACTGCTCCCTCACACCTGTTTACCTCGTCCATCTTGCTTCAGTCATCAACACCCACTGCAGCAACATGTCCGTGGCCGACATCATCCTTGTCATGGACTCCTCCAGCAGTATCGGCTACAGCAACTACCAGATTCAGCTCCGGTTCGCCGCCAATCTGACACAGAATTTTAAGATCGGCCCCAATGACGTCCGTATTGCAGCCATTAGCTTCGGCACGGACGCCCACACCTTGTTCAAGCTGGACACGTATAATGACCACAACTCTATCTATCAGGTCAGTGTGTTGTCCAATACTCTATCAGGTCAGTGTGTTGTCCAGGCTAGTTTTTTACAACCTTATTTATTACTAATATAGAAATACTGTAATTCCTTTTAGTGACCAAAGCTTTCATTACCACTTCTTAAAAAATATATATTTTCCCTTATTTTAAGGTTTATAAATCTTGTTGTTCTAAAGTTTTCAACATTTGTGTGTGCACATATGTGATTGAAACAGTTTAGCCTTGTGATCGTTGTTCAATGAAATTGTTTGGTTTTGTTATAGTTGATCCGTCAATTGTTAGATGGTGTGAACCAACCCTGACTTTAACCCCACCCTTAACTCTACCCCTCCCACAGGCCATCATCAGCTCCGCCTACCTGTCACTTTAACCACACCCTTAACTCTGACCCTCCCACAGGCCATCATCAGCTCCACCTACCTGTCACTTTAACCCCACCCTTAACTCTACCCCTCCCACAGGCCATCATCAGCTCCACCTACCTGTCACTTTAACCCCACCCTTAACTCTACCCCTCCCACAGGCCATCATCAGCTCCACCTACCTGTCACTTTAACCCCACCCTTAACTCTACCCCTCCCACAGGCCATCATCAGCTCCACCAACCTGTCACTTTAACCCCACCCTTAACTCTACCCCTCCCACAGGCTATCATCAGCTCCACCTACCTCTCACTTTAACCCCACCCTTAACTCTACCCCTCCCACAGGCCATCATCAGCTCCACCTACCTGTCACTTTAACCCCACCCTTAACTTTACCCCTCCCACAGGCCATCATCAGCTCCACCAACCTGTCACTTTAACCCCACCCTTAACTTTACCCCTCCCACAGGCCATCATCAGTTCCACCTACCTGTCACTTTAACCCCACCCTTAACTCTACCCCTCCCACAGGCCATCATCAGTTCCACCTACCTGTCACTTTAACCCCACCCTTAACTCTACCCCTCCCACAGGCCATCATCAGCTCCACCTACCTGTCACTTTAACCCCACCCTTAACTCTACCCCTCCCACAGGCCATCACCAGCTCCACCTACCTGTCGAGCAGCACCAACACTGCCCACGCCCTCAAACAGATCCTCACACAGAACCTGTTCGAACCCAGTTCAGGCGGGAGACCATCCGCCACCAAAATTGTCATCGTCCTAACCGACGGGGAATCCAACGATCCTGCAGACAGTAAGTCACACAGCAGCGTATACTGAGGGTGTTAGGGAAGTTATTTTCGAGTAGCTAGCATGACGCCGACACCTATACTGAAACTTAAAATTATAAACTAACCCTAACCAAAAATTATATCCTAAGCTTTATCTTAGACCGAAAAAATATATTGACATTTATATAGTTATTTGAAATCCTTAATCCCCGAATAAACCTTCATATCAACCAATCTCTCACCTCTATTTTAAACTATAAAAACCGAAGATCGAAAGCTGAAAATGCAACTGTTAAATTACACCTTGACGGCCAAAATTCTAACTGTTAAATTAAGCCTTGACAGCCAAAATTCTAACTATAAAATAAAACCTCTGATGCCAAAATTCTAACTGTTAAATTAAACCACGACATCCAAAACTCTAACTGTTAAATTAAACCTCTACAGCCAAAATTCTAACTGTTAAATTAAACCTCTACAGCCAAAATTCTAACTGTTAAATTAAACCTCTACAGCCAAAATTCTAACTGTAAAATAAAACCTCTACAGCTAAAGCACAAGCCGGTCATCTGAAAGACAGGGGCATCCACATGATCTCCATCGGCATAGGCGGCGCCGTCAACTCACAGGAACTGGTGGCGCTGTCCAGCAACCCTCAGAACATCTTCGTCTCGCCGGGCTTTGACGTGCTGCACAGGCTGGAGGAGGAAGTGACCAACAGGACGTGTGGAAGTGAGTGCTCACCAGCAATGGCCAGCGTAGTTATGTCACAATTATGTTGGAATGTGCAGATGGTTTTTTTAGTTAACTATTAGTCTAGTAATAGACAAGTGGGATGTAGAATGTTGAAACCTTCAGCTTTTTTTATATTTAACTGTTGCATACGTCTGTTGTAAAATGTTATATACCTAAACGCCTATTTTTTTTCTTTTTCCCTTCATTCAGTTCCTGGGGAAGTTGCCCTGTCAGGTATGATGAATTTTAACGACATTTTGCCATTTTAGTGTTAAGTATGTTTAGAGCTATTTTGTATAAATAAATTTGCCATTATGTGTTTTTATTTAGGGATGTTCAGTGTAAGAGCCACGGGCTAGTGTAAAGAATATATGGCTATACAAAATCAATTGTTTTCATATCTTGTTTTTTTTTAACAAGCACATATTTTCTTGACGACAAGATTTGTTGAACGTATTTTTAACAACCACATATTTTATCGACGTCAAGATTTGTGAAACGTATTTTTAACAACCACATATTTTCTTGACATCAAGATTTGTGGCACTTATTTCTAACAACCAAACATTTTTTTGACGTCAAGATTTGTGGAACGTCTGCCGAGAGCAGAACTGGGTCAACGGCATCCACGCCCACCCGTTCGACTGCACCAAGTTCATCGAGTGCACCTTCCTGCACACGGCCATCATGAGCTGCCCCTCCAGCCTGGTCTACGACCCCATCCTGCAGACGTGCACGCACAAGAGCGAGGCCACGCCCTGCACCGACCACAACGACTACATCCCCTACCCGGGCCAGTCGACGCCAGTACCTCCAACCACGGTGCCGGCTATAGCTATAGGTCAGTGTTTTGATGTCATAGGTCAGTGTTTTGATGTCATAGGTCAGTGTTTTGATGTCATAGGTCAGTGTTTTGATGTCATAGGTCAGTGTTTTGATGTCATAGGTCAGTGTTTTGATGTCATAGGTCAGTGTTTTGATGTCATAGGTCAGTGTTTTGATGTCATAGGTCAGTGTTTTGATGTCATAGGTCAGCGTTTTGATGTCATAGGTCAGTGTTTTGATGTCATAGGTCAGTGTTTTGATGTCATAGGTCAGCGTTTTGATGTCATAGGTCAGTGTTTTGATGTCATGTGTAAGTGTTTTAGGAGCTTAATATCTATCTTAGGTCAGTGTGGTTTGATGACTGTAGGTCATAGGTAAGTGTTTTAATGACATAATGTTATCGGTCTGTGGTTTAAAGACAGTAGGTCATAGGTCAGTGTTTTAATGACTGTAGGTCATAGGTCAGTGTTTAAAGACTGTATGTCATACGTCAGTGTTTAATGACCGTAGGTCATATGTTAGTGTTGTATTGCAAGCTAATAGATAAATCACATTTAGGGCAATCGGGGGTAACCTATAAAATCCAGATTTAAAATGTATGAGGATTTGTTGTTTGACTTTGTAATGACGACACAACAAACTGAAACCACTCGTCTCACATATAAAACGTGTTACTGCAGCTGACATACTGCAGCTGACATATTGTACTGTCTATGTATGTCGTTATAAAGCACTAACTACCCCTTCCATATCAACCTACCATTAACCGTTGCTGCTTGCCTCTAGATTTGATGCTGATCTGTTCTAAAACACCCGGGTCGACTTTATATTTATGTTATATTTCTTATGTTGCTCTTATTGTAGTGAATCTAATGTTGTATCCATGGTGCAATCGTTATGCTTTTTGTATACTATGTACAAAGAAAAATGTTGTATTAATAGTATCTTAGGTATACACTATGTGTACTAAAGACACCCATGGTATACATTTGTTATGTGTACTAAAGACACTCATGGTATACATGTTGGTCTCTACTTCCAGACGTGTCTTATGTGTACTAAAGACACTCATGGTGTACATTTGTTATGTGTACTAAAGACACTCATGTTATACATTTTGATATGTGTACTAAAGACACCCATGGTATACATTTGTTATGTGTACTAAAGACACTCATGGTGTACATGTTGCTCTCTACTTGCAGACGTGTCTTATGTGTACTAAAGACACCCTTGGTATACATTTGTTATGTGTACTAAAGACACCCATGGTATACATTTGTTATGTGTACGAAAGACACTCGTGGTATACATGTTGATCTCTACTTCCAGACGTGTCTTATGTGTACTAAAGACACTCATGGTGTACATTTGTTATGTGTACTAAAGACACCCATGGTGTACATGTTGCTTTCTACTTCTAGACGTGTCTTATGTGTACTAAAGACACCCATGGTGTACATGTTGATCTCTACTTCCAGACGTGTCTTATGTGTACTAAAGACACTCATGGTGTACATTTGTTATTTGTACTAAAGACACTCATAGTGTACATTTGTTATGTGTACTCAAGACACCCATGGTATACATTTGTTATGTGTACTAAAGACACCCATGGTGTACATGTTGATCTCTACTTCCAGACGTGTCTTATGTGTACTAAAGACACTCATGGTGTACATGTTGCTTTCTACTTCTAGACGTGTCTTATGTGTACTAAAGACACCCACGGTATACATTTGTTATGTGTACTAAAGACACTCATGGTGTACATTTGTTATGTGTACTAAAGACACTCATGGTATACATGTTGATCTCTACTTCCAGACGTGTCTTCAACCTGCCGAGACAACCACTGGCAGAACGGCATCTTCCCCCACCCCTACGACTGCAGCTTCTACCTGACCTGCACCAACTACCAGACGGTGGTCACGCCCTGCCCCCAGGGCCTGGTGTATGACCCCATCATACGGAGCTGCATGAACCCCGCCCACGCCAACCCATGCAACGACGTCAAAACCACACCATCTCACGTCATCACCACACATAAATTCGCCACAACCACATCACCCAAATATGGTAAGAAAAAATGTTATGCTAAGAAAAAAATATGGTTAGATAAAATTGAGTGGGAAAAAGTAGTAGTAAGATTTATGGTAAGAAACAAACATTTGGCTAGAAAAAATATGGTAAAAAATACAATAGGAAAGATTTTAATAAGAAAGAAAATGTCACATAACAAAGCCCCTCTTATTTTATTCACATATATAATATTGTATTCTATTATTAATAACGATTAATCGACTGTTTCTGTATTTTAAAAAAGTAAATTATATTAAAATATATACATTAACTAATTATAACAAAACGAAATTCAAAGAATAACCTCCCTTGACAAATGATAACCTCCCTCCTAGATCTGACGGATATCTGCCGCGAATACAATCTGCCCGACGGTATCTACCCCGACCCCGGGAGCTGCACCCACTTCGTGGAGTGTGTGGACAAGATCACTTACCACATGGAGTGTCCGGAAGGCCTAGAGTTCAACACCCACACCCTACTATGTGACGATGTCCACCTCATCGACTGCAATGAAAACTACAGGTTCCAGTTCGAAACCGTTCACACAGGCTAGACAGGAGGTGGTGGTTTCCATCGAGAAATAATGCTACATATGAATATCACATACATCACATAAAATGTGTAACAAGTGTACGAAGTCACTATGAAACATGAACACATTACACAACTTTGTATTTTTATAAACATTTGTACGAAAGTCATCACACATGAGACACTGCCTTCATTGCTTATTATTCCCACAATATTTCAACTGGATTTTTTTTAAATTTTGTAACCAGAATAAAAAAAAGATGCACGTTTAGACTTTAGATCTTGAGAGTGAGAGAGACGAGTACGTTTTTCAGCGAGTGTAGTGTGGTTGATGTCGTTTAAATCTTGAGGCAGACAGACATCTTACAGTGAGTGTAGTGTGGTTGATGTCGTTTAAATCTTGAGACAGACAGACATCTTACAGTGAGTGTAGTGTGGTTGATGTCGTTTAAATCTTGAGATAGACATCTTACATAGAGTGTAGTGTGGTTGATGTCGTTTAAATCTTGAGGCAGACAGACATCTTACAGTGAGTGTAGTGTGGTTGATGTCGTTTAAATCTTGAGACAGACATCTTACAGTGAGTGTAGAATGGCTGATGTTGTTAACATTTTGAGATAGACAGACATCTTACAGTGAGTGTAACGTGGCTGATGTAGTGTCCTCACCTTTATTTATAGATTTTTACTTCGGTTGTGACTTGTCGAAAACTTAATAACCTGTGTCCTTTTGTCATTCAGTTTTCTACCGTCTTGAGGGATGGGATCGGGGGGGGGGGGAAGGAGAAACAAGTAACCATCTACACCTTCACTAGAGAATAAACAAACTTGTGCTTACAGATTACAGAATTTAAAAATTACACCCACAATCCAAACAGGAAGTAACTATTTTATCTTTGTAGTCTCACCATGATTTTCTCCCATCTGCCAAGTTCACAAGCCTTATGTCAAGGTCTGCATGTATAAACTGAGAGAACTGTTCCCAGTCGATGAAGTCTTCTAAAATTATCCACTTGTACAATGAAATAGCTTGTTGGTGATTCTGCCTGATCAGCAATATATTTTTTTTCCAAGTACGGCTTTCTGTCATGCCTCAAAAGAAAACAAAACTCTTGTCTAATATTTTTAAAATGTTTAATTGTGCATGGAATTCAAAGATATGTCATATATTTTGTAGCACGAACATATATTATATTTGAACCGTGGAATGAAAGTAAAAGATTAACTGCTAAAAGAAGATAGCAGTCACATAATGAAAGTTGTTTTAACAGGCCAAATATAAAACAGAATCAGTAACATTAAGGAAATCGTTAACAGACAGGCCAAAGCTAAAAGTGAAGAGAATAAAAGAGGCAGAAACAATTTAAAACAAAAATAGTCAAATTAAAAATCTTTTTGGCTACAAACATCCCCTGCATAGAATAATCGAGTAAATTACATATGTTACATTGTTTCTTCCAGACTTTTTCTTTGCGGGGGGGGGGGGGGGGGGGGGGGGGGGGGGGGAGGGCACTTGAAATTTTCGGCGGGGTGGGGGGGGGGGGGGTGGCGGACCACAGTCTTTTTTCTTCCAGACTTTTTTCTCAGGGGGGGGGGGGACTTGAAATTTTCGGGGGGGGGGGGCGGTAGACTTTCTTCGGGGGGGGGGCGGACACTGTTAAAAGTATATATTTTCTATATAAATTATATAAATTTCATTTTTTCGTTCGTGGGGGGGGGGGGGGCGGTAGACTTTTTTCGGGGGGGGGGGGGGGGTGTCTTCTCCCCTAAGAGATGCCTGAAAGAAATTCTGGTTAAAATATCCCTTGCATAGAATAATCGAGTAAACTACTAATGACGTTTTATCAGCAAAGAGATGTATTATTGTTCATATGTATCATATTGCCAACGTAATTAAAAGTAGTTTTTATTTTTAGACTGCCCCTTCTCCTCTTCACCCTCACCCCCTACCCCCAACGGCGTTGAAAACAACTGTCGCTATATATTCCCTCACGACCTTACCCATGAGGTACACAAAGCAAACATGGACTAACCGTGAACTTAGAGTACAATACATAGTAATGTTTTCTGCCTTCATACTTACCGGTTTACCTTAACACCTTTTTACCAGTTTTGAAGTACCTTTTTGTACACAGTGGACTTAAATGTCTATTCTGTTTACAAACCTTGAGGTTTTACTGTTGAGTGGATCAATATTACTTATACTGTTTCAAACATTACTGCAAAGAGCCGTCAAATGAAACAGATATGTGACACCTTATTACACTTACACAAATTTAATTAACCAGGATCTCATTAAATCCTCACAATCAAACCTGTCCATCCAACACTTCCTTATCTATTTTTTAAAACTAAATATACTTTTAATGCTCCTTCTAAATGAACTTCGCGTGCTCAAAATCAAGTACAGAATTTCTGAACTATCTCGCATCGTAGATAAGGGGGACAAATCTCTAATAAAACTTTGAGCAATTATTCTTCTGGCCATTTTTTGTTCACGTTGCCCAGTCACAATGAAGTGTGTTCGTATCTTCATCTGTACTGTGTTTAGCTTAATGGTACTCAATGTTCGCGCAGCAGGTAAATAGATAGACATCTTAACGCTACAAATATAACGTAAAGCGTCGTGTTTTTGTTGTTTTTGTTTTATTTTCTAAAGTTTACCGTAACTAAATATTATCCACATCCCAGCTCCCAGGGTTGAAAGACCTAAACCTGTGGTTGTTAGCTGACAGGGAGCATCGTGTATTGGGATTACAAACTTACAAACTGAAGACCTGAATGACACGGTTAATCTGGTGATTGTTAAAATAACACGGCTAATCTACGGTTATTGAATTTGAATGGCAAATCTATGATTGTTAACATGAGAGGCTAATCGATGATTGTTAAGATGAGACAGCTAGTCCAATGATTGTTAAAATAGCACGGCTAATCTATGGTTATTGAATTTAAATGGCAAATCAATGATTGTTAAGATAACACGGCTAATCAATGATTGTTTAAATAACACTACTAATCCATTATAGTTTTTAAAAATGCGGCTTATCCATGATTATTCAATCTTTGGTGAAATAAAATGATGAATATTAAAGCGAATATGAAGTTAACTCATGCATATATATGTTCATCTAGATGTGAGCAACATCTGTGCAGATCGAAATTGGTCAAACGGCATTCACGAGAACCCCTATGACTGCAGCAAGTACATAGAATGTACATTCCTACACACGGCTGTCATGAACTGCCCCCCAGGAACTGGCTTTGACGCGACGTTGGAAACATGCTTATTTGGCACTTCTTGCTGAGACTTAATTAAGGTGGAAACGTTTTACCAAAAAAAAATGTGTGTGTTTGTTTGTCTGTTCGTGTCTCTTTGTGTGGATGTGTATTTCTTTGTGTGTGTGACTTTGTCTGTGTGTATTTATATTTACATACAAACATAAATGAATATATACTTTTTGTATAGACATGCCTATTTAAATATGCATTTTAAACTACTTGTTAATTTACTGTTGTTTTAAAGAAACTGTCTTAATTATGTAATTAGCAGGACCACTGATTGGCATTGTTCTGAGATAGTTCAAGCCTGTTTTTATCACCTGTTGAACAGCACGAGTACACCAAGTTAGCATCAGACTGTTTACGTCCAAGAATTAATTAAAACTGTCATGTGTTTGTTGGTTGTTTTATTCCTTTAACCAACACTGACACCTATTTTTCGGGCATTTAATACGATATTTCTCCACTTAACTAACACTATTGACACAATTTTTCGGGCATGTGACACGATATTTCTCCACTTAACAAACACTATTCACACAATATTTTGGGAATGTAACACAGTATTTCTCCACTTAACTAACACTATTGACACAATTTTCCGGAATTGTAACAAAATATTTCTCCACTTAGCTAACACTATTCACACAATATTCTGGGAATGTAACACAGTATTTCATCACTTAGCTGATACTATTGACACAAGGTTCTGGGAATGTATCGCTAATTTTTCACCGGCCTATTTAAAGAAGATGGAGATCACTTGGACACAACTTAGTTCTTCCTCTCACATATGTCAACGCGTACCTCCATTTACTGTGTGTGTGTGGAGGGGGTAACATTGACAACTTTGTCCAGTAGTTATATTTGATACCATTAAAGATGATCAATACACATAAGACTGGACGAGATGAAACCTTTACATTCATACAAAAGATTAAAAAAGTAATATAAATATCCTTTATTTATTTATTTATTTTAAGTATAAATTTTAAAAAAAAACTTGATCTGGCCAATGAACCCAACCAAGAATAGACTCGGAATTATTAGAAAGGTGCATTACTTATTTTAAATTTCAGGTCCTATTTCACTTTTTAAAAATACGGTTATAAAAATCTGACGGTTTGATATTTGTTGGACTTTACTAAAGATTGGATGTATTTTTTGTGTTAAGTATTTTCGGTAACTTAACAAAAAAAAAAGCAAAAAAAAAACAATGTGTGTACATTTTATCAATGAAAGTGACACAAAACCTGTCGTTATGCTTAAAAAAGTAATTTTATTTAAAAATTGTATTGGCAATGTTTTGAGTACAAAGTACTATATGATTTTTATGAAATGGCGTTTTAAAAAATAATTGATCTTGGTATAGCCAATCAAGATTTGTCTTAAGAAAGTGAAATTTCGGGTTATAACTTAGGCTTGATGAAAATGTAGCCTTAAATTAAAAACAAAATATTTTCAAATTATCTGGATTTGCAACTTTTATAATATTGATTCTAAAGATATTACATTTATGAATAATTTTTAGACTTAACTTTGTTTTTTTTTATTATTATTTTTACGGTCGTTTTGATTGCAAAATAGAAAAAAAAACACGTTTTTAATTCTTTCAAAAATATGGTTGAAGGATTCTTCTCAACTGGTGATGTCCAAAGTATGACTTAAGCTCCCTGCCGGGCAAGTTGACACAAGACATGGGACAGAAAGTCACACAAAAAACAACCCATCAAATCTACACATTTTAATTTAAGTGAAATAAATTTAGAGTGACCGAATACTGAAGCTTAGATAATATAAAACTTTTTTTTCTAAAACGCTCGTACTAACATAAAGACAGCAATGTAAGCTATAATGAAGACAGCAATGTAAGCTCTATAATGATGACAGCTATGTAAGTAACCTACTATCATGAAGACAGCTATGTAGGTAGTATACTATCATGAAGACAGCGATGTGATTAGTATGAAGACTGCAATGTAAGTACTAGTATGAAGACAACTTTATGAAGATAGCAATGTAAGTACTAGCGTGTACTAGCCCCCCCCCCCCCCTCCGAAGAGATGCCTGGAAGAAACTCTGGATGTAGGTACTGACACGATGACAGCAATGTAAGTACCAGTGTGGCGATAATTGATACAGAGATTTGCCTTCCTTTTTCCTAATTAAAACAACAACAAAAATATTCACTCGTCACATTCTGCATGCAGCCTGACAGAAAGCAAGTCATTGCTTTTTACCTATTTAATATTCAGCTTTCGCTATCGCAGCTCACTTTCCTGTTTATAGGTCAAATTGAAACGTGATTCAAGATGGCTGACAATATGTTTTTCTGTCTGCTAATGTTAGGCGGAGTAACCTTAAGTCTACAGCAAACAGGTAAACTAATTAGACAACTTGCTGGTAAACTAATTAGACAACTTGCTGGTAAACTAATTAGACAACTTGCTGGTAAACTAATTAGAAACTAACTGGTAAAAAAAATAGACAACTTGCTATTAAACTAATTAGACAACTTGCTGGTAAACTAATTAGACAACTTGCTGGTAAAATAATTAGACAACTTGCTGGTTAACTAATTAGACAACTTGCTGGAAAACTAATTAGACAACTTGCTATTAAACTAATTAGAAAACTTGCTGGTTAACTAATTAGACAACTTGCTGGTTAACTAATTAGACAACTTGCTATTAAACTAATTACACAACTTGCTATTAAACTAATTAGACAACTTGCTGGTTAACTAATTAGACAACTTGCTGGTAAACTAATTAGACAACTTGCTACTAAACTAATTAGACAACTTGCTGGTAAACTAATTAGAAACTAGCTGGTAAAACAATTAGACAACTTGCTACTAAACTAATTAGACAACTTGCTGGTAAACTAATTAGACAACTTGCTAGTAAACTACTTAGTCAACTTGCTGATGAAATAATTAGACAACTCTGATGTAAAAAAGTTAATTCTGGTAAACGGATTAACCAAATTTGCGAATAAAGGGAATAGTTTTAAATAAATCATTTTAAAATTATTTATTTAAATTAAACTTATACCTACTTATTTTTTTAATTGTTTATAAATAATTTCGTGCTATTTTCCACTGAACACATTACAAGCAAAGTATGAGTGTACACGAAAGCTAAGCCTGATTGTATACACCAATAGAGGAAACTAAAGTGTAGCGTTTCTTGTAGAATAGCAAGAAGTGTCAAGTAAAACTGATCAGTTTACGAACCAAATACACATCTCTAACTATTGCAGTTCGATTTATTGCGTGTCTTTAATTGAGTTGAATCTATGCACGGCACAGAATATTGAACTTAAGGGGGGGGGGAGGATAGTTCGTATTCATTACTGCATATATATATATATATATATATATATATATATATATATATATATGTATGTATGTATATATATATATATATATATATATATATATATATATATATATATATATATATATATACTAGCCGTCCCGGCCAGGCCCTGCTCTGGCTTCTGTGAAAAACCTTTCTGTTAAAGACCATTACCTGTGTGTTTAGTAATCATCATAAACCCGGCATTGCACACCCAAACCAAAACCAAAACAACAAAACGCAAACATAACGCTAACACAATTACAAATACAAACGAAAACAAAAACCTAACAACTAACCCAACCACAACCACAACCACAAACACCAATACGAACACAAAGAAAAAAACAAACGAAAAAGCAAACGAAAACAAACCAAATCCAAATGCAAAACCAACCACAAACCCAAAGAAAAAAACACAAACGAAAAAACAAACGAAAACAAACCAAATACAAACGCAAAGCCAACCACAAACACTAATACAAACACAAACGCAAAGAAAATAAAACACAAACGAAAACGAAAAAAGAAAGAACAAAAACGAACCAAATCAAAACGCAACCACTAACGCAAACCCAACCTAAACACAAAGAAAACACTAACGCGAACATAAACGCACAGTGCTCAGAGTCTAGCCCGGGGCGGAATCGCCTGTTTCAGCTTAATAAACGACTATAGTACCCCAACTTATTCATAGTCTTTTGCACTCACTTTAATGAACGTAGGCGCGAAACCGAACACGGGAGGCCCGGGACCCCAAATAGCACCCTGTCTGGGCGCCAGAGGACGCACCATGACGTCACCGCCTGATTGAACTTAGTAAACGACTATAGTACATAACTTATTCATAGTCTTTTGAACTCACGCGAACGTATATACCATAGCGTACACCGGAAGGCCCGGGGCGCCAAATAGCACCCTGTCGGGGTGCCGGAGGACGCCCGGATTTGATTCACTTAAAGACTATAGTAACCTTTCTTACCCATAGTCTATCGCACTGTTAAAAACAAAACTATGCAGCATAGCGCTCACATGATAGCCCAGGGTGCCAAATCGAACCGTGCAAGGGCGCCGGCGGACGCGCCTGTTTCAATTTAGTGAACAAAAATGATAATACTCCAAGCTTATCCGTAAATGGAAAGAAATAAACATATAGGATTTGTAGGACCTGGCTTATTAAATGTTATTGATTTTAAAAAAAAAAATATTGAACAGTATGTTCAGTGTATAGAATAAATAAAAGGCAGTGTTAAAAATACCTAACGACATTGCACTTAATCAATCCCCGCTAATTATGTAATTTTTTTTTTATTTCTTAACACCAAAAACAAAGTAATAAAATGTAAATTCTTTCTTTTTAAGAATTTTTTTTTATTAAAGGGAAGTAACTGTGCAGTCAATACATTTCCGACACAATTTTAGAAATTTTATAAACGTCGATACACTTTTTAAACATTTTATGTCGCGTTCATAATTGAAAATTATTCTTCTAAGTAAATAGAGTAAACATTGTTTTAAAGACTTTCAATGGTAATTTTTTGACTCGTAAATTTAGACTGTGAGTACGATAAAAAATCTAACACTTAAATCCATAGAACTGTCAACGACAAACTTTTTTTTCGCCACACGTTACAGAACTGAGCTTTATATATTAGACTAGCCGTCCCGGCCAGGCCCTGCTCTGGCTTCTGTGAAAACCCCTTCTGTTAAAGACCATCACCTGTGTGTTTAGTAATCATCATAAACCCGGCATTGCCCACCCAAACCACAACCAACCAAAACCAAAACAACAAAACGCAAACATAACGCTAACACAATTACAAATACAAACGAAAACAAAAACTTACAACAAACCAACCACAACCACAAACACCAATACGAACACAAAGAAAAAAGCAAACGAAAACAAACCAAATCCAAACACAAAACCAACCACAAACACAAACCCAAAGAAAAAAACAAACGAAAAAGCAAACGAAAACAAACCAAATACAAACACAAAACCAACCACAAACCCAAAGAAAAAAAAACACAAAAGAAAAAACAAACGAAAACAAACCAAATCCAAACGCAAAACCAACCTCAAACACAAATACAAACACAAACCCAATGAAAATAAAACACAAACGAAAACGAAAAAAGAAAGAACAAAAACGAACCAAATCAAAACGCAACCACTAACGCAAACCCAACCTAAACACAAAGAAAACACTAACGCGAATATAAACGCAAAGTGCTCACGGGGCTGAATCGCCTACTTCAACTTAATAAACGACTATAGTACCCCAACTTATTCATAGTCTTTTGCACTCACTTTAATGAACGTAGGCGCGAAACCGAACACGGGAGGCCCGGGACCCCAAAAAGCACCCTGTCTGGGCGCCAGAGGACGCACCATGACGTCACCGCCTGATTGAACTTAGTAAACGCCTATAGTGCATAACTTATTTATAGTCTTTTGAACTCACGCGAACGTAGATACCATAGCGTACACCGGAAGGCCCGGGGCGCCAAATAGCACCCTGTCGGGGTGCCGGAGGACGCCCGGATTTGATTCACTTAAAGACTATAGTAACCTTTCTTATCCATAGTCTATCGCACTGTTTAAAACAAAATTATGCAGCATAGCGCTCACATGATAGCCCAGGGTGCCAAATCAAACCGTGCAGGGGCGCCGGCGGACGCGCCTGTTTCAATTTAGTGAACAAAAATGATAATACTCCAAGCTTATCCGTAAATGGAAAGAAATAAACGTATATGATTTGTAGGACCTGGCTTATTAAATGTTATTGATTTAAAAAAAAATAATAATTATTGAACAGTATGTTCAGTGTATAGAATAAATAAAAGGCAGTGTTAAAAATACCTAACGACATTGCACTTAATCAATCCCCGCTAATTGTGTAATTTTTTTTTTTTTCTTAACACCAAAAACAAAGTAATAAAATGTTAATTCTCTCTTCTTAAGGATTTATTTTTCATTAAAGGGAAGTAACTTTGCAGTCAATACATTTCCGACACAATTTTAGAAATTTTATAAACGTCGATACACTTTTTAAAAATTTTATGTCGTGTTCATAATTGAAAATTATTCTTCTAAGTAAATAGAATGAAAATTGTTTTTAAAGACTTTCACTGGTAATTTTTCGACTCGTAAATTTAGACTTTGAGCACGATAAAAAATCTAACACTTAAATCCGTAGAACTGTCAACGACAAACTTTTTTTTTTTTGCCACACGTTACAGAACTGAGCTTTATATATTAGATTTATTTATATAGCTTAATTAAACACGACTTATTATTAAACTGTTAAGTTTGTATACTCTTAACTGCGTCATTTATTTGCTATCCACATAATTGGACTCAATAGATAGTTTAATTCTATTGCATCCTGGGTGGACAATTAATTCCCTTTCTATCCCTAGTGGACAATTAACTCCTCTTCTATCCCCACTGGACAATTAATTCCCCTTCTATCCCCACTGGACAATTAATTCCCCTTCTATCCCCACTGGACAATTAATTCCCCTTCTATCCCCACTGGACAATTAATTCTCCTTCTATCCCCACTGGGCAATTAATTCTCCTTCTATCCCCACTGGACAATTAATTCCCCTTCTATCCCCACTGGACAACTAATTCCCCTTCTATCCCCACTGGACAATTAATTCCCCTTCTATCCCCACTGGACAATTAATTCCCCTTCTATCCCCACTGGACAATTAATTCCCCTTCTATCCCCACTGGACAATTAATTCCCCTTCTATCCCCACTGGACAATTAATTCCCCTTCTATCCCCACTGGACAATTAATTCCCCTCCTATCCCCAGTTGACGTCACTAACGTCTGCTCACATAACCGCTGGCCTGATGGCCTCTACGCCCACCCCTACCACTGCTCCAAGTTTATCGAATGTGTGTCGTACCAGACGACAGTGATGGACTGTCCTGGCACCCTCCTCTTCAGTGGCCTCAACCAGACCTGCATGCACATGGACGTGGCCGAGTGCTTTCACGCACCGCCGCCTACAGAGCCTCCTATTGGTAACGTGTGTCTTTAGTTCTAACACTCGCAGAGTAGAGCAACACATGTTAACAGTATAACAGTTTCCGTTTAGATGCACTATGGTATTATAGGAAATTAAGTAGGATTGGGAATATTAGAATGAAAGTCGGAAGGGAATTTCTGAATTAAAGTAGAAGGAAACGAAGTTTGTGAATACCGAAAAGGAATTACGGGTTGGGACTATCAGAAAGGAATAGGATTGGGACTATTACAAAGGACATTCTTGTGTCAAATTTCTTTTCGTTTTGTTTAAAATAAATTAATACAAATAAGAGCATAAGATTTCTTTTCTTTACGTTTTATGTTTACACATGAAGACGTATAATGCTTACACATTGTTGACGAATATTTCCATAAATCCCCCTAGATCTATTCGACTTCTGCGCCCGCATGAACCTGACCAATGGGATTTACCCAAACCCGACGGACTGCTCAAAGTACATCATGTGCACCTTCATGACCACCGCCATCTTGTCGTGTCCGGCTGGTCAATCGTTTTACCACGTGTTCAACAACTGTGTTTATTTTGCCACTCATTCCTGTCTTTAAGTTCAGTAAAATAAAGTTCCCTTTCAAACTTGGCGGTCTATGGTGCAAGTGTGTAGAGTTTACTTGTTTTTGTGACTTGAGATATTGTCTTTGTGAACAAACTAATTAAAAGTGGTTTGATGGTACACCTTGACCTTAATTAACGCTTAGGATTTTTAAAAATACTTAAATATATGTAATCTCTAATTACTTTATTGTGTTTTTATCTAAGTAAGTCATGTTTAGAACTTCCTTTCCGAGAAATTTATTACAAATTTAAAATGACACGTGCTGGATGATAAGATTTGGAAAGTTTCCAAAATATATATTTCTTTGTTAGGCCGTATAGTTGTGTACTCTTCTTGTTTTGTTAACTTAAATTAACTTACGAAATCCATTAATGTGAGAGTGTACTTTATTATTTTTTTCTTTAGTTTGGTTTCCTCCATATCAAATAGATGACAGGTTCAGTTCACATTTGAAGGTGGCACGTCTCAAATACATGAGAGGTTCAGTTCACATTTAAAGGTGGCACATATCAAATAGATGAGAGGTTCAGTTCACATTTAAAGTGGGCACATATCAAATAGATGACAGGTTCAGTTCACATTTAAAGGTGGCACGTCTCAAATAGATGAGAGGTTCAGTTCACTTTTCAGGTGACACATATCAAATAGATGAGAGGTTCAGTTCACATTTAAAGGTGGCACGTCTCAAATAGATGAGAGGTTCAGTTCACTTTTCAGGTGACACATATCAAATAGATGAGAGGTTCAGTTCACATTTAAAGGTGGCACGTCTCAAATAGATGAGAGGTTCAGTTCACTTTTCAGGTGACACATATCAAATAGATGAGATGTTCAGTTCACATTTAAAGGTGGCACGTCTCAAATAGATGAGAGGTTCAGTTCACATTTAAAGGTGGCACGTCTCAAAAAGGTGGCACGTCTCAAATAGATGAGAGGTTCAGTTCAAAGTTGTCACACCATGTTGAGCAACAGAAATCTCAAACTGACGGTCGTGTCTTCCAGAACACTAGAACACTCAAGGAAGTGATGGTGAGGTTTAGTGGCCAAGTAGAATTATGCCGGATGAGATTAATTTTGCAAAAACAAAATATACGATGGATTATAGATTAATTGTTTACTTTTCTTTCAAATTAAATAGTATTAAAGATGAGGAGTAAATGGTCAGATTCTGTCTGAAATGTATAAAACGTTTCTATCTGATAACACATAACCATAATTTTTAATAAAAAATTAAAATAACCTGAGTAACAAAGTATCTTCTCTAAGAATATCCTAGGATAAAATAAAACGATAGAAACCATTTTTTTTTAACTTTAGACTACGGTATTGATCGTAAAATATTTGTCTGAGTAGTTTTTTGGTCATATTTTTATCCTGGGATATTTTTCCGAGATATTTTATTCTCAATTTTGGTTTCCTGAGATTATGCTCTAAATTTATAATCTACTTTCTGAAAATTATTGTTTTGATGTACTTTGTTCAGAGATTTTTTTGTCTAAAATATTTTTTTCTTGACCGTAACGTGTAAAACATAAATACAATGGCCCATGGTAACCGTAACACATCCTTTGTGACAACTGAGTTTGGTACTGTATTTCTCGCAACTATTCTTATCCAAAAGCTACCAGAAATAAAAGCAAAAATGGTTTTATAAAAACAACACTTACAATCACAGTTCTCAAATTTTTTTTCAATTTGCAAAATAAGAAATTTGACACTTGGCCGAAACGGCGTAGCTTTTTATGTGTTTTTATCGTTTTTATTTTCGTATTTATACATTTTTTAAATACATTTTTAAGGAAAGGATAGGGCGTTTATTTTTAATGATAAGAAAACTATTTTTTATTACCGCAATCTTTCTTAGAAATTGTTTTATTTTTAAGTGTCTTGAGTAGAAGTCTCTGAAGTACGTTTATGGTACATAAGGCCGTGCAATTCACAATTAAATACACCAATATTTTTTTATTATTGACAGTTGCGGTTTTTTAGAGGGCACGTTATTTTAAAATATACATTCTGTCCTATTCAGAATAAATACAATGTAAGTGAATATATTAAATAAACAAATACACACTGCAAGAAGAATGCCGAGCTTCTGGCATCGGTTGTAGGAGACCAGATATTTTTTTTTAAAACCAACTTCAAATCTAATTAACAGATTAACATAAGATGACATGATATTTTACTGATATATTTTCCTCCTGGATAGTTTGTCCTAAGTCATTTGTCCTGAGGTATTTTGTCCTGGGATATTTCGCCCTGAGATATTTTGTCCGGAGATATTTTGTCCTTGAGATATTTTGTTCTTGGGATATTTTGCCCTGAGATATTTTGTCCAGAGATCTTTTGGACGACAAATACTGAGCCCTGAGATATTGTACCCGAAGATAGTTTTCCAAGAAAAGTTTTTCTTGTTATATTAATTGTCTTAATATTTTTTACTCTTATATTTTGTCTCAGAAAATTGTCTCCTGTCACCGTTTAAAGGCCAAAGATAAACGTGCGCTGAAATAACACAACATTTTATACCCCAAATAAAAATGTCTCCAGCTATAAACATGTTAAATAAAACACGAATAAGAGATTAAAAACAGGCAATACAACATTAAGTGATTACAAGATTAAGTTACTGTGATTTGTTACAACCAAGCCAGGCATTAAACTAAACTACAAGTGAGCACAACATTTCTACAACAGCTGTCCTATTCTCAACAAACCTACACAAAATGTCAAGCCAACACTTTCTTATCTTTCAATCTTTTAAAGACTTGCCAAGTGAACCTCTCGTGTTTAAAATTCAGTACAAAATTTCTGAAAAATCCACCAGAGATAAGATTGGAAAATCATCAGTTATAAAAGTTTGAGCTATCAAAGTCTCGTCATTTTTTTGTACTAGCTGCTCAGTCACGATGGGGTCTGTTGGTGTCTTTGTCTGGTCTGTGGTTTGTCTGACGGTACTCAATCTTCATTTAGCAGGTAAGTTAAAATTGTAATGTTACTTCAATTTCTTTTACTTACTTACACGTTTTATAAATAAAAAATTAGCTAGTCCACATTATTCGTAATGCTTTTTTAGTTGCAAACGAGATACAACTCCATAATCATATTCGTAATCATATGCTTGAAACCTAGCTTCAATCAACTCTAAACAAGAGACTAAGTTAAAAATTGATCCTAACGTTCAACTAAAGCCTATCATCTACCCAGCCCTAAGGACTAAGATACCATTATCACCATTCTAGTAGCACAGGTACTATGCCTAAACCTCAAGACAAAAAGATAGCTAAATAACATACCTACATTTCATTCAGAACAAAAAGGTGTATATCGTCGCCTGAGTTCGTTGGAAAATTGTTTAATATTGAAATTTAGAAAAAAACAGAATGTTTACTTTTGTGTTAGAGTTTCAACTAGTGAATGAAATCCTTCGCTTCTTGTACTCACAGCTTGTGGGGATGAAACAATATGCGCAGACAACCACTGGACCAGCGGCAACCACCCCCACCCCCTGTACTGTGACCGCTATGTTCAGTGTAGTGGCACCACGACCCAGGTCATACACTGCACACCCAACACTGGCTTCGACCCGTCCACCGCGCACTGTGTGACCAACGCGCCAGCATGCAATGATGCACCTGTGACGGTAGATACAAGTATGTGCATCATCACCATCTTGGAAACAGCACAAGCGACATTACATGCACATCATCACCATCTTGGACACAGCACAAGCAACATTACATGCACATCATCACCATCTTAGTTTCAACATCAGAAATTACATTTACGTCATCACCATCTTAGTTGTAGTATCATCTACATCTCATTTACATCACCGCCACCTTAGTTTCGACATCAGCAACATCTTATTTACATCATCATCAGATTTTTTAATATTTCTTTCAATACGCAATCACCATCACCATCTCAACCTTTATCTACATCATAGGATGTTAAAGGATGTTCTTCTTTTTGTAGGCTCTGGAATATGCCGTGACAACAACTGGCAGAGTGGGGTCCACCCCCACCCCGACACATGCGACCAGTACATCATGTGCTACGACTTCGCCACGCAGATCCTCAACTGTCAAGCTGGACTCAAGTTCGACCCGACCAAGGGTGCCTGCGTCGCTGCTAACATTGCTGAACCCTGCAATGACCACACAGGTACCACTAAATAAGATAACACAATTTTTCATTCGTGGACGGCATTTCAAAATTTTAATCGGCGGTTCATATTTAAAGCTGTCGGGTCGGAAGCATTCAAAGCCATTCTGAACTAATAAAGCCGATATGTTTATTCTCCCCCCCCATATATATATATATATATATATATATATATATATATATATATATATATGACTGATCACTTCATGTGAACACCAGCTCATCTGACTAATCACTTCACGTTTTGCACTGCTTTTCCTTATAATTGTCTAAAATGCTGAATTGACAATCAAAATTAAAGCATTGTCATCAAGCTTTACATTATATTTTAGTTAACTCTAATTAAACAATTGTAAAAATGTTGATACCATCAAATGCTGTATTTGTACCTAGGCTCCGGCGGTCTGTGCAGAAAAGCTGACATCCTCTTCATCATCGACTCCTCCTCCAGCATCGGCTACAGCAACTACAGCAAGCAGCTGGAGTTTGTCCGCAGGATGACCACCTTCTTCCCCCTTGACGCCGACAACGTGAGGTTTTCCGTCATTGTATTCGCCACTGACGCCGTGCTCGCTATCAGGTTCAACGACTTCTATGATCACATGTCACTTACTAGGGTGAGTAGGATATACAGGATGGAAGGATTGATGGATAGACGGATGGACGGATACAAGAATATATTAAGACTAAACTACTTTACTGCTAAGCTGCTACATTGCTTTACTAGTATACTGATATACTGATATACTGCTATACTGCTAAACTACTATACTCATCATCATCATAAACATATTTTTCATGCCCAAGACACATATGCCCATAAGTAACCATACTGATTTACTAATATAATGATACGCCGATATACTGACATACTGACACACTGTTATACTGATATAAGGAAATGCGTTTGGACGAATGAACGTACATTCAGATAGACAAATGGACGGATAACTTTTTTACGCATATAAGATGGGAGGGTGGACGAATAAATGGAGAAGCGGATGGACAGATTGACGGTTGAATGCATGAACGAGTGTGCGGACAGATTTGGATAGAAGAATGGGTGTATGGATCTATTCATCATATGGACTATTCACTGTGAACTTAAGGATATTCCCAAACACAAGTTAGTGTATTCATAAATGTATGTTCCTCCCACGTAGGCCATCCAGAACCTGACGTATGTGGGGGCCGCCACAAACACATACAAAGCCCTGCAGCTGGCACAGTCGAGTGCCTTCACCAAGGCTAACGGTGCCAGAGATGGTGTGCCACACATCACGGTTGTACTCACTGACGGCATGTCCAGCGACTACGGCCTGACGGTCAACGAGGCCAGCAGGCTCAGGTCAATGGGGGTCATCGTCCTGGCTGTGGGTATAGCTGCAGCCAATCGTACAGAGCTAGAAGGGATGACCGGATACCGCGGGTCTGAGGCCAACAAGTTTGTTTTCTATGTGGAGAATTTCGATCTGCTGCATACCTTACAGGATGATGTCCCGCTCGCTACGTGTCAGGCAGGTCAGTCTTTGGTGTTTAGTGTTCACTTTCTTGGTCAGTGTTTGGTGTTTAGTGTTCACTTTCTTGGTCAGTCTTTGGTGTTTAGTGTTCACTTTCTTGGTCAGTGTTTGGTGTTTAGTGTTCACTTTCTTGGTCAGTGTTTGGTGTTTAGTGTTCACTTTCTTGGTCAGTGTTTGGTGTTTAGTGTTCACTTTCTTGGTCAGTGTTTGGTGCTTAGTGTTCACTTTCTTGGTCAGTGTTTGGTGTTTAGTGTTCACTTTCTTGGTCAGTGTTTGGTGCTTAGTGTTCACTTTCTTGGTCAGTGTTTGGTGTTTAGTGTTCACTTTCTTATTCTTTCAGTGTAGCTGTTTACGTGTGGTCAGTGTTTGGTGTTTAGTGTTCACTTTCTTATTCTTTCAGTGTAGCTGTTTAAGTGTGGTCAGTGTTTGGTGTTTAGTGTTCACTTTCTTGATCAGTGTTGGGTGTTTAGTGTTCACTTTCTTGGTCTGTCAGTGTAGCTGTTTACGTGTGGTCAGTGTTTGGGTTAGGTGTTTACTTGTCTTAGTCAGGATTTATAGTGGCTGATTTGTAAAGTCCCCGTTTGAGAACTAACGATCCATAAAGCAGATGAAGTAGAGTTCATCTGTTTACTATCCCTAAAGTGAGACTGTTACCCATCAAAGCTGGGTGGAATTAATGACATCACTCGAGTCCGTGGTTCAAACCCATGACTTTAGGTTTATCAGAGTCAAGCTGGAAGATTATGTTTTTTATTGTACTGTGTCTTTTACCGAAAAAAGCAGTGTTAATCAGCGTGACATTTTATTCCACATGACTGAATAGTGACCGGCGCAGCGTGTCTGGACATATCCGTGGCCGACATCATCCTTGTCATGGACTCCTCAAGCAGCATCGGCTACAGCAACTACCAGAAACAGCTCACCTTTGCCGCCAACCTAACGGACAACTACAACATCGGGGAGAGCGCGGTCAAATTCGGGGCCATCAGCTACGGTACTGAGATCGTGAAGATCTTTGATCTTAAAGATCATCAGAATCATGCAGCGATCAGACAGGTAGCTTCATTTTTCAGCACTTTCAAAAGGTAGTTTTATCTAAGAACCAATAAGTCGTATATCTGCTATCGTAACCGGATAATCATCTGCAATTTTAACAATAGAGCTTCTTAATTAATTAGGTTTTTTTTTGTGGTTATTTTTATATCAGGTAGTTTCTTTCCTAATATCATCATGTAGTTTATTCTCTCATCGAACCAACCCCGACTGTTTCTATCTCGTTTCCGTTGTTCATTGAACCATTATCTGACTGTTTCTATCGAGTCTTTTTTGGGCTCACACACAATTTGTTCATTGAACTATTATCAGACTGTTTCTATCTATTTTCTGTTGCCCACACACCACTTGTTCATTGAACCATTATCTGACTGTTTCTATCTAGTTTCTGTTGCTCACACACAATTTGTTCATTGAACTATTATCTGCCCGTTTTTATCTAATTTCTGTTGCCCACACACAATTTGTTCATTGGACCATTATCTGACTGTTTCTATCTAGTCCCTGTTTGGCTCATACACAATGTGTTCATTGAACCATTACCTGACTATTTCTATCTAGTCTCTGTTGGGCTCACAATACCTGTCCAGCAGTACCAACACAGCAGGGGCACTCCAGAAAATCGTGACAGACAACATGTTTGGGCCGGCGTCTGGCGGACGGAACAACGTCACTAAAGTCGTCATCACCATGACGGATGGCGAGTCCAACAACGTTGCCCAAAGTAAGGGAAGTAAACCACTAGCTAAAGTAAGGGGGGAGCACATGCTAAAGGACGGGGGGGGGGGGGGGTAAAGCACATGCTAAAGTAAGGGGTTTAAAGCACATGCTAAAGTAAGCAGGACAAATCTTGTAAAGGAACTCTTCACTTGATTATCCGATAAACAAACGGCAATAATACTGAAAATAGAACGGCTGTAAAAAAAATAAGAAAGAAATTTCTGTGATAGTATACAATGAAGTTTTATTACTAACTGGGATCTAGCATGATGTCCATAGATGGTTTATGCGGCGGTTTACTGAGATATAAACATATTTTAAACAGAGGGTTAAATGAACGTCTGATGGGGTTTTAAGCTAGTATATATAGATTAAGTGAAGGAAAATGTTTAAATTCTACCTTCACGCAATCGCAGCTAAAGCCGAGGCCCAGCAGCTCAAGGCCAAAGGTTACAAGATGATCTCTATTGGGATAGGAAGTCAGGTCAACCATGACGAGCTGACCACCCTCGCCACCAGCACCAACGAGATGTTTTTATCTCCCGGATATGACGTCCTACACATGTTGAACGAGGACATTCTGACCAGGTCTTGTGGAGGTTGGTCACTTTTACTCAGCAATTTAACAATGGTTGTTTGTGTACAGTGTAACTATTTTGGGGGGCGGCGTGGTCGGGCATTAGAGCGTATGCTTGCTCACTTTAAACGTCAGGAGTTGGAACCCCCGGCAAATGAGGGTTAGCTTTGGACAGTAACTTATCTCTGAGACTTAACTCCAAAATCAAACAACTGCTTCCTTAATAGGCTGTTATGGGTGGTTGAAGGCAAATCCAGAAAGAAAACACGCTTTGATCAAAATGGTCGGTTCATATGTTGACAACACTTAACTGTGCTGGAGAAAATTACTTTCAGTATTACAATTAAGAAAAAGAAGAATGTAAACCATATACTTTTAAAATATTTGTATTGAGCATATAGAAAATAAAGTATCACCAAATTAGTAGAAGGTGTATGTCTATCACGTGGTGAAATATCTTGTCGTTTCAGTGCCTGGCAACATTCCCATCACGGTAACTACAGGTAAGTGTTTAGATCTTTTGATCCATTGTAAGACGACAGGTGGGTTAGTTACACGGTAACCACAGGTAAGTGTTTCGATGGCAGGTAAATTAGTTACACTGTAACCACAGGTAAGTGTTGCGATCTTTTGATCCAATGTATGGAGACAGGTGGATTTGTTACACGACAAACTTATCATTCAAATAATAGCAGCTTTATGTAGACTATCAAAATCTATTTTTTAAAATAATTTTTAATATATACAATACAATATGGATATCTAAAATATAGATGTATTCAGAAACGCAGTAGTATAATAAGAGCATTGTTTTAGGTGAGGTTTGGGACATTTGCCGACAGCAGAACTGGGTCAACGGTATCCACGCCAACCCGTTCGACTGCACTAAGTTCATCGAGTGCACGTACCTGCACACGGCCATCATGAACTGCCCTGCTGGTCTGCTGTACGACCCCAGTTTGAATACCTGCACCTTCGCAAACTCCGTGTCCGTCTCTTGCCTGGGCTACGGCTACAACCCTGCCCTGGGGGTGGGTGGCTCGGTGATCATCACCCAGACAACCCCTGCCACCAATTTTGGTAGGTTCTTACATGACCTGGTTCATTTAAATATATTAGTTTTTTTTTTAATAAAAAATGCATTTTACATTTTTAGATCATTTACATTCAATCATATATATATATATATATATATATATATATATATATATATATATATATATATATATATATATATATATATATATATATGAATGATCTGGATGATATATCTGGTTGATATATCTGATATGGTTGATATATCTGGTTTATATATCTACTTGATATATGTGGTTGACATATATGCTTGATACATCTGCTTCATATATATATATATATATATATATATATATATATATATATATATATATATATATATCGGATATGGTTGATACATCTGATATGGTTGATATATCTGGTTTATATATCTACTTAATATATCTGGTTGATATGTCAGCTGAAGACAGTGGTTCGGAAAGTTTCTCTGATGGTGCCTGTCTTCTCTTTTCCCAGACGTTCAAAACACGTGTAGGATCAACAACTGGAATACCGGGATCTACACCCACCCCTACGACTGCCGGTACTATATCGAGTGTCATTCATACACGACCCAAGTTGTCCCCTGCCCTCTGAACTTTTTATATGACCCCACGGTCAAGAGGTGCGAGGATCCCAGCTACGCTCACCCCTGCAATGACTACAGCCCTGGGGTCGTGTCGACCACAAACTTTTATCCAACCGTGGGGCCACAGCCCGTGGGTACGTACTGCAAAAAGCACCACACACAAACATATCCAATGCTCCAAGCCCTCTTAAACCCTTCAGCACACACACACACACACAATAGAACCCCAATAGATACACAATCCAAACTAAGCCTATTAGCAGAAACACACAGTCAATATTATAGAGCTGTGTGAAAATTAAATTACCTCATAGTGAGTATGACACTTGTTAAAAGTGAACCCCCCTGTCCCCTACTCCTCACACACAAACACACTCATATTCCAACAGACTCACACGGGACATACACACGGTGTAAGTATATAAGAGCGAAGTGTGTGGGTTACCGACATAAACAAGCATCTAGCCACATTTCACCTATCTGAATAGTTGTCTTTCATTCTCAGCACAATTAAGGGGATATAAGCGAGAAAATTACACGTCTATGTGTTGTTGCGTCCCATTAAAACCTATCTCAAATAATGTTACAAACTCTTTGCTTTTATTTTATCATAGTATTAATATCTATCTATGAAAAGCGTACATTAATAAATTAATTAATGTATACATGTTATATTTGAAACTCTTTTGGCTTTAATAAATTAACGACAACATTGACCTCTGCAGATTATATATTGAACGTCTGCTCCACCCACCGGCTGTCCGACGGCCTGTACCCCGACCCCGGGAGTTGCAGCCATTTTGTGGAGTGTGTCAACCAGATCACCTACCACATGGAGTGTCCAGACGGCCTCCATTTCAACACACACGCGCTCAACTGTGACGACGTCCATCTGGTCAACTGCAATGACAACTATCGATATGTTTTCTGATTGACCTCCATTTTGGTCGTTCTTAGACCTCAATGTTGGTCGCTCATAGAACTCGTTGTTGGCCTATCATAGACCTCAATGTTGGTCGTTCATAGACCTCGTTGTTGGTCGTTGATAGACCTTTATGTTGGTCGTTGATAGACCTCTACGTTGGTCGTTCATTGACATTTAAGTTGGGCGTTCACCGACTTTCATATTGGTCGTTAATAGAACTCCATGCTGGTCGTTCATAGACCTTCATGCTGGTCTATCAAATGCCTCCATGCTGATCATGTTCTTGTATTTGAATATGTTTATTATTGTAACTTATCAATCGCTTTCTTTATTTGTCCATTTTTTAACCTTCATGCAACTCAAATCAACCAGCACGTATGACATTACTGTTTATATTTGTTAACACAATACATGTTAGTTGATACAACAGCCGTTCACTGTTTTTATATTGTAAAACAAATGTACCTATAGTCATAGAAATCTAAAACGTAGAATAGAAAAAAAAAGCGTATTGCAACCAGAGGCGTAGCGACCCTTTCAACCTTTCAACCTGGCGCCCCCCTCGGGAGAAAATTTTCAATTTGCACTCCCCCCCCCCCCCTCAAACTTTCGATTTGCACCCCCACCCCTTCAACTTTTCGATTTGCACCCCCCCCCCCCTCAAACTGCAAAAATGCAGCTAAAATGACATTTTAATTTGTCTTTACAACCCATTTTGGCGCCCCCTACGGTCGGCACCCGGGGACACCCCCCCCCTGCCCCCCCCCCCCCCCCCCCCCATCGCTACGCCTCTGATTGCAACAACCAGGTCACCTACCCAGTCAAAAAATGTAACTTTGTTTCACGAAGCCTTTGTTTTGATACAGAGGGAAAATAATGTCGATAACCTTAAAGTGAGGTAGCTACGTCAATAAGACATGTATGGGCATCAGGTTGTGTAATAGAAGCGTGTATAATGTAATGCCTAACACAACTATATAGTTAGTTGCACATCTGTTCACTAAATCCACTGGTCCATACTGAATTAATTTTACAAACCACATTTGGAATCAAAGCCACACACCAGAATACACATTAAGGATGAAAAACTACACAAAATAAACCTGTGTAGTAATAGGCTTGTACTATTTAAGAGCAGGAAAATTTCAGAAAAATGTAACGAAACACATTTGAATTAATGTACACAGAAAAATACATTCGTGTACTTGAAAATATTTTATAGAGAGCTGTTTCAGTTCAGTATACAGCCACAATTAGATGGGGGTTCGTCCAAAGTGGACAAGAAGAAAGTGGGGGGACGGGTGGGGGTAGTTTTAATTTTAACTTTTAAATAAATGGATGACCGATAAAATTAGTGTCGGTATCTATAAGGGATCGCCTTGCTCATTTTATCCTTCGTGTGACTCAGTTACCTTCCATAGCCGACAGCGTTGCTTAAATTCAGAATCCCTCCCCCCCCCACCCCCTTGTTCATTGTGATGCTTCAAGTTATTTTTAACGGTTACCTTACCCTACCTACTCACTGTGTTGCTTTTTGCTGTGTGTGATTTCAGAGTTACCCCCCCCCCCCCCTCCAGCCGAAAGAGTGGCACCATCTGATTTCATAGTTACCTCTCTTTGTTAATTGTTACGCTTCAAGTTATTTCCGAGTTACCTCCCTTTGTCCACTGTGTTGTTTCACGTCAGCTGGCTACACACAAGAACCTTGTACAAGACGATCTGTTCCTCTCTCGTGTTCTACACCTACATAAGCAGACCAACAGATTTGTCAATGTACACTTAGCTTATCCTGCTGGTTTGATCAGAGTCTGGTGCTCATAATCTTCTGAACCTCGCCACGTTTGCCCTGGTCCTCGGCTCCAGAACATTCGATTACTGAAACTAACTGCAATGTACAATTCTCGTGTATTTTGCGCCGCTTTACTACCGGATTCAGAAGATTGTCCGCAGTTTAATTAGTGCATCGTTCACCTCATTACCTGAGATAGCGCTGTTTTCGCTTGTGTATATATCAATAAAACGTGATATCCTTTTATTCAACAAAACACTTTCAGATACTGTTATGTGGCTGAAGTGGACAAACGTGTGTTAATTAGTTATCTTATCTGCGGGTGGGGCGACGTCTTCAGATTTGAGTGACGTTGACTCTGATAAGTTCACCACCGGGTGGAGCTGGGGCGGGGGGCGAGTGGAGTCTCGCTGTGAGATAAAAACCCGGGCAGGCTGGGACGGTTAGCCCGGGTCGTCAACTCCAGGTGTCAAAATGGCCGCTCACATTGTCTTCTTCATCGTGTGTCTTCAGGTTCTACTAGTTCAAGGAGGTGGTAAATGATTTATTTATTTTATTTTATTTCATCTCATCTATACATAATACATGTATGTGCGCGCGTGCGTGCGTGTGTGCCTATGTGTGTGTGAATAGGTAGAGAGAGAGAAAAAACAATGTCTGTATATATATATATATATATATATATATATATATATATATATATATATATTATATTATATATATATATATATATATATATATATATATATATATATATTATATATATATATATATATATATATATATATATATATATATATATATATAATATATATATATATATATATATATATATATATATATATATATATATATATATATATATATATATATACAGACATTTTTTTTTATATATAAAGTGCATGCATTGTCTTCCAAATGTTTTGAATGGTTATATATAGATTAAATATGTAATTAATTGATTACTTGATTGGTTAGTTGATTAAATATCTAATTAATTTAATTTAAAAAAAAAACATTTTTGTTATCAGTAACAATGTCAGGCTCTGAAACAACAACCCGCCGGACACTCAAGCCATATACAGACACACACACACACACACATCGCGCTACACATACTACTCTCGCCACACACACACACCTCCCATTACACATAAACACACACAGCTCCTGCCAGAAGACTCTAGCAGCATCTTTTCCTGTCTGCAGACGACTCCACGATCTGTAAGGACTCTGGCTGGACGAGTGGTGCCCACCCCTACCCCTACGACTGCCAGCACTACGTCCTGTGTAACGGTACGCTGACCATCGTCCGCGCCTGCAATGACGGCACTTTCTACGATGCCGCAGTCAGAGCCTGCCTAGCGGACAACCATGGCCGTCCGTGTCTAGCCAACCAAGATTTATCCACTCCACCGTCATATCTAGGTAAAGTTTCAACTCCACCGGCATATCTAGGTAAAGTTTCAACTCCTCCGGCATATCTAGGTAAAGTTTCAACTCCAGCGTCAAATCTAGGTAAAGTTTCAACTCCACCGTCATAATTAGGTAAAGTTTCAACTCCACCGACATATCTAGGTAAAGTTTTCTTTCCCCACCACTGGCATATTTAGGTAACTTTTCCATTCCACCGGCATATCTAGGTAAAGTTTCCACTCTACCAACATATCTAGGTAAAGTTTTATGTACATAATACCATCAAATCTAGGTTATGTTTTATTTACACACACCAGCATATTTAGGTAAAGTTTTATGTCATCCACCACCGCTATATCTCGGTGAAGTTTCCACTCCACTGGCATATTTTGGTAAATAATGTCCCCGAAACCGGCATATTAAGGTAAAGTTTAAACTCCACTGGCATATTTAAAATGTAGGTAAAGTCTTGAATTTCTTGTGTTGGGCAGATCCTTTAATAGAGCAGTTACCTAAAGAAGTAAGAGTTGTATAGTTAAATGTCACGACATTATATCCAAACGAGAAATAATGGAAAAATGAATTAATGAAAGAAACCTGGTAGCAAGTAATAAATAACACATGTTAATCACTCCATTCTTTTTGGTTTAAACAAAGCATGATTAGCATATTAATTGGTTCAATTAAATCTCCGACCTCGTGTACCTGACAGTATGAAGAACAAGGGAGGTAACGTTCAGACCATGGTCGTTTCAGACACACTCATTAGCCTAAATTACCATTTTATATCCGCTCTAATTTGTCAAAATCTCAAAATCAATCATTTACTGGACATTAATTCGGACACAAAATAGGCCCTACTTAGTATTTCAATTACCGCTATACACTCGTTTCTCTTTTCTTTGAATGTCCATTTAACTAAACTAATTAGATTAAGTCACATGACTAACATTTCCTCCCCAGATACCACAGTGTGCAGACAGTACGGCTGGGCTTCCGGCATCCACCCTTACCCCGGCGACTGCAACCACTACGTCTACTGCGTCAACTCCAACACGCACATCGTCGTCTGCCCGCCTGGCACCAGCTTTGATACGAGGGTCAACGGCTGCCTGGATAAGTCTGATGCTGAGCCGTGCCAGGCCACCACCACCACCCCCGCGCCGATCACAACTGAGGCGAACACGGGTGAGACCAGACAGAACACCCCCACCCACACACCCCCACCCACATAACAACGTTTTGTCCACACGATGCGATGCCATTCACGAATAAGCAACCTAACTCCCTCCCCCCAGCTATAAATAGAGGCATGGCCTACTAAATATTGCTTACATAAATAACATAACATAACGATACACGTGCTGGATAGAGCAATGTGGTGGGATATAGTACTAAGAGATAATCATTTAATACAACTCAAATTGAGGGAAATTTCTAACAATATGGACAAAAGTATCATAAAAGTAAAATATATAATAATATAATGCTGAAAATAAAAGACATTTGACAATAAAAGGTTGGTATAGATTTCTAGTTTCTTAAAATCATCAAATATCTTCTGCAAAGAAGCGATAACTGCTAATTTCTTTGATGCACCTATACTAAGGGTGGGGGTTAGCGTGAAGGTGAGCTTAGCAAGGGCAGTGGTTAGGGTAAAAAGGACCAAGTTCATCGGTTACCGGCCCTTTTATCGCGCCAGCGACGGACCTGTTCCATACGCCTTTACGGACGGCTTAGGATGAGTCACAATGTAGATCTGGTGACTGAACATTTTAACGGTCCTGAGATTCTAACTGACCAGGAGAGGGCGGGAGGGAAAGAGAAGGGGGAAGAGGCGGTGCACAGATACGTGTCGTAAAGATGTCGTAAAGATGATGGTTGTAGAATAACTTTACCGTCACAATCACCAAATGACGTCAAACTGACTATACAACTTTTTTCATCCCCAGACGAGAACATCTGCAGGCACAACGGGTGGGTGTCCGGCATCCACCCCTACCCCACGGACTGCACCCGCTACATCTACTGCGTCAACTACATCACCCACATCGTGAGCTGTTCCCCCGGCACCAGCTTTGACACTCAGGTCAACGGTTGCCTGGATACGTCGGACGCCGAGCCTTGCTGGGCTAGTGCCTACCCCTGGGTCTCCACCACAGAAGGGAGCTCTGGTGAGATACCAATACCCCGCCCCAGGGTATCCTCCATAATAGAGAGATTGAGGCACACCACCCCACCCCTAGGTCATCACCACAGTAGGGAGCTCTGGTGAGATATCAATACTCCGCCCCAGGGTAACCTCCATAATAGAGAGATTGGGTGAGGCACACTACCCCACCCCTAGGTCATCACCACAGTAGGGAGCTTGAGTGAGGCACCCCTCCCCCACCCACAGGGCAGCGACTACAGGAGAGAACTCCGTTGATGCTTCTTCGCCCACCCCAAGAAAATATCCTTCACATCCAGTGTTTTTTCCAGACTTTTTTCTCCGAGCGGGGGGGGGGGGATGTGAAATTATCGGGGGGGGAGGGCGGACACGGTTAAAAGTATATATTTTCTATATAAATTCCATTTGTTCGGGAGGGGGAGTAGACTCTCTTGGGGGGGGGGGGGGGGGTACTGACATATTTTCAAAGAATTTTGAAATAGCCAACTGAAAAAGAGAAAATGAAACCTTGCAAAACATAACACCATCAAATATGTTAACGTACAACAACTAGCATTATAATTATTTTATTTTTAGATATTTTAACGTTACATGATTTTTATATAGCATTTATAATGTGAACCATATAATAGATAATGAGCGTCAATATATCGATGAGTGAGATTTCAGATATCAAGAGGGGTTAGCATACACTACCTGAATTGTCTAGTCTCTAGCTAAATGTGCTGTTTGTGTTGCTGTGTTGTTGCTTTTTTAAAATAAATGACAGCAGTTTTGTCTGTCTACCCGTCAGATCCATCCAACATTTGTCGAGCATACAACTGGATGTCCGGCACCCACCCCCACCCGACGGACTGCAAAATCTACGTCACCTGCAACAACTTCGTGACGTCATTCTTCGCCTGCCCTGACGAGACCGTCTTCGATCCGACCCAAGGCGTCTGTGTAAACCCCCAATTCGCGGCGCCCCCATGTAACGCCATCACGAGCAGTGGCCGACCAGAGGTCACCAGTATAGAGTACCCCACATCTGCACCCCCGCACACGCCCACCGAAACAACCCGAAGACCGGTCGTGACGACACACGTTTTTATACCAGCCTCACCAGGTAAAAATTCTGTAACACCTATCTCAGTTATAGGCTTTTTAATGAGTCTATTCAGTCTTTATAATAGTTTTCAACATGGAACCGAATGTTTTTATCGCTCCCTGCTACATGAGATCTCGCACACGGAGAACGTTTTTATGTGACACTATTGGGAGATGTCACTGACTACACGGAATAAGCACGTGATTCATGCACATATGAAAGGACACACAACATACAACAGGACATGCAACAGGACATATGACAGGTCAAGTGATTTTTGCACATATCTAAACAATGGACATGTATACTATACTAATGAACAATGGACAGGTACACTATTCTAATGAACAATGGACAAGTATACTATACTAATGAAAGAATAAATATACTTAAAGCCATGTGGTAGAGCACTTAATTACTTATCGACAATGGTAACTGGTCAGTATGACGTCACTTAGTCCACCAGATGTGGTACCTGATCGAACTTGGGGGCACGTAAAGGGCGAAAAGTTGACCACACTATCCGATATACATCGGAGAAACAGCTTCGCTCTACCTGATACATGTCCCTTAAGTCTGAACGGGTATTTTCCTAATAAAACATCCTAGCATGACGAGACAAACTCCCCACCCACACGTTTCTCTTCCCAGACATGGCGGGCATCTGCAACAAGTTCAACCTGGTTGACGGCATCTACCCCGACCCCGGGGCCTGCAGCAAGTTCGTGGAGTGTGTCAGCGCCAACACCTACCACATGGAGTGTCCGGCCAGCCTCATGTTCAACTCGAAACTTCTCGTCTGTGACGAGGCATATGACGTCACATGCACAGACAACTACAACTACAATTTTCAGAATATTATCATTGGCTAGCTAAAGCACCAGCTATCTAAATGAATGTTATTATTGGTTAGTTTGAGGGGAATGTTATCGTTGGATAGTTTGAATGAATATTTGTATTGGCTGCTCATAGCTGCGTAAACTCTGGTTAGCTTACGGAATATTACTATTGACCATTTTTCAGCCATGCTATATTTATAAAATAAACAAGTTGATTATAAACTGCAATACATCTATTGTGTCTCGGCTTATTTAAAATTGTATGTATTTTTCTTTTTTTTTAACGAAGTCATAACTTTTTTTTTAACTTTTATTAATTAAATGCAAGTGATAATGTCAATGGAGTTAATGAAACACGATTCGAACTATGGTTTGTTTTAAAAATGTCGACCAAAGTTGTGGGTTCAGCGCCAAGCCCGCACCACTGGGCCTTACTAGAGCCACTACAGCCACAAATAGAGCCATATGGCCATAACTAGAGCCAAGTGGTCATAAGTAGAGTCACGTGACCATAAGTAGAGCCACGGAACCACACTAGAATCAAAGGGCCAACAAATAGATCAACGGGACCTCACTAGAATCAAAGGGCCAACAAATAGAGCCATAGGACCTCACTAGAATCAAAGGGCCAACAAATAGAGCCACGGGACCTCACTAGAATCAAAGGGCCAACAAATAGAGCCACAGGACCTCATTAGAATCAAAGGGCCAACAAATAGAGCCACGGGACCTCACTAGAATCAAAGGGCCAACAAATAGAGCCACGGGATCTTATTAGAATCAAAGGGCCAACAAATAGAGCCACGGGACTTCACTAGAATCAAAGGGCCAACAAATAGAGCCACAGGACCTTACTAGAATCAAAGGGCCAACAAATAGAGCCACAGGACCTCATTAGAATCAAGGGGCCAACAAATAGAGCCACAGGACCTCACTAGAATCAAAGGGCCAACAAATAGAGCCACGGGACCTCACTAGAATCAAAGGGCCAACAAATAGAGCCACGGAACCTCACTAGAATCAAAGGGCCAACAAATAGAGCCACGGGACCTCACTAGAATCAAAGGGCCAACAAATAGAGCCACAGTACCTCACTAGAATCAAAGGGCCAACAAATAGATCCACGGGACCTCACTAGAATCAAAGGGCCAACAAGTAGATCCACGGGACCTCACTAGAATCAAAGGGCCAACAAATAGAGCCACGGGACCTCACTAGAATCAAAGGGTCAACAAATAGATCCACGAGACCTCACTAGAATCAAAGGGCCAACAAATAGAGCCATAGGACCTCACTAGAATCAAAGGGCCAACAAATAGAGCCACAGCGGATCTCTTTGACTCAGGGAGGTCTTGCGATTCAACATATACTATGTTAACATATGTTAAGGCTTAATGTGACCTTTAAGATAATAAAAGCCCTAACACATGTTAACTCATTATATGAAAGCCTTAACACATGCTAACACATTATACGAAAGCCCCAACACTTACTAACATATAATTTGAAAGCCCTAACACATGTTAACACATTATATGAAAGCCTTAACAAACGTGTCTTAATTAGTTATCTTATCTGCGGGTGGGGCGACGTCTTCAGATTTTAGTGACGTTGACTCTGATAAGTTCACCACCGGGTGGAGCTGGGACGGGAAGCGAATGGCGTCTCGCTGTGAGATAAAAACCCGGGCAGACTGGGACGGTTAGCCCGGGTCGTCAACTCCAGGTGTCAAAATGGCCGCTCACATTGTCTTCTTCGTCGTGTGTCTTCAGGTTCTACTAGTTCAAGGAGGTGGTAAATGATTTATATATTTTATTTTATTTCATCTATACATAATACATGTGTGTGCGCGCTTTCGTGCGTGAGTGCCTGTGTGTGAATAGGTAGGTTGAAAGAGAGACAAAATGAGTGTGTATATATATTTAAAGAGCATGTAATGTCTTCCAAATGTTTTGAATGGTTATCTATTGATTAAATAAGTAATTAATTGATTACTTGATTGGTTAATTGATTAAATATTTAATACATTTTTTTTAAAAAGTTGTTATCAGTAACAATGTCAACCTCTAAAACAACAACCCGCCAGACACTCAAGCCATACACACACACACAAAGCACACAACACACACACACATCGCGCTACACATACTACTCCCGCCACACACACACCTCCCATTACACACAAACACACACAGCTCCCGCCAGAAAACTCTAGCATCTTCTCCTGTCTGCAGACGACTCCACGATCTGTAAGGACTCTGGCTGGACGAACGGTGCCCACCCCTACCCCTACGACTGCCAGCACTACGTCCTGTGTAACGGTACGCTGACCATCGTCCGCGCCTGCAGTGAAGGCACTTTCTATGATGCCGCAGTCAGAGCATGCCTAGCTGACAACCATGGCCGTCCGTGTCTAGCCAACCAAGATATATCAACTCCACCGTCCTATCTAGGTAAAGCTTCAACTCCACCGTCATATCTAGGTAATGTTTCAACTCCACCGTCATATCTAGGTGTTTCAACTCCACCGTCAAATCTAGGTAAAGTTTCAACTCCACCGTCATATCTAGGTAAAGTTTCAACTCCCCCGTCAAATCTAGGTAAAGTTTTAACTCCACCGGCATATCTAGGTAAAGTTTCAACTCCACCGTCATATATGGGTAAAGTTTCAACTCCACCGGCATATCTAGGTAAAGTTTCAACTCCACCGTCATATCTAGGTAAAGTTTTCTGTCCCCACCACCGGCATATTTAGGTAAAGTTTTCACATCACTGTCATATCTAGGTAAAGTGTCCATTCCACCGTCAAATTTAGGTAAAGTTTCAACTCCACCGTCATATCTAGGTAAAGTTTTATGTACACACTACCATCAAATCTAGACAAAGTTTCAACTCCACCGTCATATCTAGGTAAAGTTTTAACTCCACCGGCTTATCTAAGTAAAGTTTCAACTCCACCGTCAAATCTAGGTAAAGTTTCAACTCCACCGTCATATCTAGGTAAAGTGTCCATTCCACCGTCAAATTTAGGTAAAGTTTCAACTCCACCGTCATATCTAGGTAAAGTTTCAACCCCACCGTCATATCTAGGTAAAGTTTCAACTCCACCGTCAAATCTAGGTAAAGTTTCAACTCCACCGTCAAATCTAGGTAAAGTTTCAACTCTGCCGTCAAAAATATGTAAAGTTTCAACTCTACCGTCATATCTAAGTAAAGTTTCAACCCCACCGTCATATCTAGGTAAAGTTTTCTGTCCCCACCACCGACATATTTAGGTAAAATTTTTAACTCCACCGTCATATCTAGGTAAAGTGTCCATTCCACCGTCAAATCTAGGTAAAGTTTCCATTCCACCGTCAAATCTAGGTAAAGTTTCAATTCCACCAGCATATTTAGGTAAAGGTTTTTGTCCCAACAACCGCTTGTATCTAGGTAAAGTTTTTTGTCCCTACCACCAGCATATCTAGGTAAAATTTCAATTCCACTGGCATATTTTAAATTTATGTAAAGTCATTAATCTCTTGTTTGGGCGGATCCCTAAGCGAGAAGAACAGTTACCTAAAGAAGTAAGAGTTGTATAGTTGCATTTCACGACATTATATCCACATGAAAAACAATTGGAAAAACAAATTCATGGAATCTCTTGAGTAGTTTATTCTTGAATATAAATTGAAAATAAAATTTAAAATTTATTTTGTCGGGAGCCAATATGTCGAGAGTCCATTTGTCGGGAGCCTAAATGTCGGGAGCTCATATATCGGGAGACTGTATGTCGCGAGTCAATATAACTGGAGCCCATTTGACGGGAGCCAATAAGTCGGGGCCCTTTTGACGGCGCTATTTTGGCTGGATCGTTTTGTCGGGTGTCGATTTGACGGGGTCATATTAACGGGGCCGTTTTGACTGGGCCAATTTATCCCAGGCTATTTTGACAGGGCACCGTTTAAGACACACACATTAGCCTAAATTACCGTTTTATATCCACTCTATTTGCCAAACATATAAAATCAATCATTAACTGGACATTGATTCAAACAAAAATACTTAGTGTTTTAATTACTTTTATACACTCGTTTCTCTATTCTTAGAATGTCCATTTAACTAACCTAACTAAGTTAAACCACATGACTAACATTTCCTCCCCAGACGCGAACATCTGCAGCCACAACGGGTGGGTGTTCGGCATCCACCCCTACCCAACGGACTGCAACCACTACGTCTACTGCGTCAACTCCAACACGCACATCGTCGTCTGCCCGCCTGGCACCAGCTTTGATACGAGGGTCAACGGCTGCCTGGATACGTCTGATGCTGAGCCGTGCAAGGCCACCACCACCCCCGCGCCGACCACAACCAATGCGAACACGGGTGAGACCAGACAGAACTGCCCCCAACCCCACACCCCCCATCCACACAGCAACATTTTGTCCACATAAATAACATAAACTAACGATACGCGTGTTTGATAGAACAATGTGGTGGGATATAGTTCTAAGAGATAATCATTTAATACAACTCAAGTTGAGGGAAATTTAATAACAATGTGGACAAAAGTATCATAATAGTAAAATACATAACAATATAATGCTGAAAATAAAAGACATTTGACAATGAAAGGTTAATGAGTCACAATGTAGATCCAGTGACTGAACAGTTTAACGGCCCTGAGATTCTAACTGACCAGGAGGGGGCGGGAGTGAAAGAGATGGGGGAAGAGGCGGTGCACAGGTACGTGTGGCGGTCGTAAAGATAATGGCGGTAGAAAAACATTACCGTCACAATCACCATATGACGTCAAACTGTCTATACAACTTTTCTTTCCCAGACGCGAACATCTGCAGCCACAACGGCTGGGCGGCCGGCATCCACCCCTACCCCGGCGACTGCAACCACTACGTCTACTGCGTCAACTACAACACGCACATCCTCGTCTGCCCGCCTGGCACCAGCTTTGATACGAGGGTCAACGGCTGCCTGGATACGTCTGATGCTGAGCCGTGCAAGGCCACCACCACCCCCGCGCCGACCACCACCACCACCCCCGCGCGGAACACAACCATCACGATAACGGGTGAGACCAGAAAGAACACTCCCCCCCCCCACCCACACACATCCCCACACACAACATTTTGTCCACACGACGCGATTCAATAAGTGACTCCCCCCCCCCCCCCCAACCGGTAAATAGAAGGCATGACCTACTTAATATTGCTAACATACATAACTAGCGATACATGTGTATGATTAGACACTGTGGTGGGATATAGTACTAATAGTAAATCATTGAATAAAACTTGAGGGAAATTATAACAATATGGATAATAGTATCAAAATAGTAAAAATACGTCACTTGCTGACAATAACAGACATTTGACAGTAAAAGGTTTATATAGATATCTAGTCTCTTAAAATAATCAAATGCCTTCTGTAAAGTAGCGATAGCTGCTGATTTCTTGGAGGCTCCTATACCCAGGTTGTGGTTTAGCTGAGTAAGGGTCGTGGTTGAAGTAAAAAGGATCGAGTTAATCAGTTACTGGCCCGTTTTTCGCACCAGCGACGGGCCTGTCCCATAAGCCTTTTCGGCTTGGGATTAGTCACAATGTAGATCTGGTGACTGAACAGTCCAACAGTCCTGGGATTCCAGCTGACCTTGGGGGGGGGGGGGGGGGGAAAGAAAGAGAAGGGGGAAGAGGCGGTGCATAGGTAGGTGCGGCAGTCGTAAAGGTGATGATGTAAGAATAACTTTACCGTCACAATAACCATGTGACGTCAAACTGACTATACAACTTTTTCCCCAGACTCGAACATCTGCAGCCACAACGGGTGGGTGTTCGGCACTCACCCCTACCCCACAGACTGCAGCCGCTACGTCATCTGCATCAACTCCGTAACCCACGTTGTGATCTGTGCCCCCGGCACCAGATTTGATAAGAGGGTCAAAGATTGCCTGGTTACGTCGTACGCCGAGCCTTGTTATACTAATGATCAATGGACAGGTATACTATACTAATGAACAATGGACAGGTATATTATACTAATGATCAATGGACAGGTATACTATACTAATGAACAATGGACAGATATACTATACTAATGAACAATGGACAGGTATACTATACTAATGATCAATGGACAGGTATACTATACTAATGAACAATGGACAGGTATACTATACTAATGAACAATGGACAGGTATACTATACTAATGAACAATGGACAGGTATACTATACTAATGAACAATGGACAGGTATAGTATACTAATGAACAATGGACAGGTATACTATACTAATGAACAATGGACAGGTATACTATACTAATGAACAATGGACAGGTACACTATACTAATGAACAATGGACAGGTATACTATACTAATGAACAATGGACAGGTATACTATACTAATGAACAATGGACAGGTATACTATACTAATGATCAATGGACAGGTATACTATACTAATGAACAATGGACAGGTATACTATACTAATGAACAATGGACAGGTATACTATATTAATGAACAATGGACAGGTATACTATACTAATGAACAATGGACAGGTATACTATACTAATGAACAATGGACAGGTATACTATACTAATGAACAATGGACAGGTATACTATACTAATGAACAATGGACAGGTATACTATACTAATGAACAATGGACAGGTATACTATACTAATGAACAATGGACAGGTGTACTATAATAACGAACAATCGACAAGTATACTATACTAATGAAAGAATAAATATACTTAACGCCAGGTGGTAGAGCACTTAATTACTTATCGACAATGGTAACTGGTCAGTATGACGTCACTTAGTCCACCAGATGTGGTACCTGAACGGACTTGGAGGCAAGTAAAGGGCAAAAAGTTGACCACACTATCCGTTATACATCGGAGAAACAGCTTCGCTCTACCTTACCTAATACATGTCCCTTAAGTCTGAACGGGTATTTTCCTGTTAAAACATCCTAGCATAACGAGACAAATTCCTCACCCACACGTTTCTCTTCCCAGACATGGCGGGCATCTGCAACAAGTTCAACCTGGTTGACGGCATCTACCCCGACCCCGGGGCCTGCAGTAAGTTCGTGGAGTGTGTCAGCGCCAACACCTACCACATGGAGTGTCCGGCCAGCCTCATGTTCAACTCGAAACTTCTCGTCTGTGACGAGGCCTATGACGTCGTATGCACAGACAACTACAACTACAATTTTCAGAATATTATCATTGGCTAGCTAAAGCACCAGCTATCGAAATGAATGTTATCATTGGTTAGTTGGAGGGGAATATTATCGTTGGATAGTTTGAATGAATATTTGTATTGGCTGCTCATAGCTGCGTAAACTCTGGCTAGCTTACGGAATATTACTATTGACCATTTTTCAGTCATGCTATATTTATAAATTAAACAAGTTGATTATAAACTGCAATACATCTATTGTGTCTCGGCTTATTTAAAATTGTATGTTTTTTTCTATTTTTTTTTAACGAAGTCATAACTTTGTTTTGACTTTTATTAATTAAATGCACGTGATTAAATACACGTGTTAATGTCAATGGTGTTGATGAAACACGATTAGAACTATGGTTTATTTAAAAATGTCGACCAAAATTATGGGTTCAGCGCCAAGCCCGCACCACAGGGCCTTACTAGAGCCACTACAGCCACAAATCAGTGTTTCTTCCAGACTTTTTTCTCCGGGGGGGCACTCGAAATTTTTTTTTTGGGGGGGGGGGGGGGACGGTAGACTTTCTTCCGGGGGGGGGGGGGGCGGACACTGTTAAAAGTATATATTTTCTATATAAATTTCATTTCGTTCGGGGGGGGGGGGGGGGGCGGTAAAACATTTCCGGGGGGGGGGGGGGCCAAGCCCCCCCCCCCACCGAAGAGATGCCTGGAAGAAACTCTGCCACAAATAGAGCCACGTAACCATAATTGGATACATTTTAATAGCATAATAATAGTAGGGTAGAAAAATCTAATTAAACGGTTTAGTAATTTTGCCAAGGGAGGTAATTTTAAAAAATGTGAATGCAAAATCTCCAAGACGGAATAGTTGTTGGAATAATATAATTAGCAAAATGTGAATGCAATTTATGCAGACGTGTAAGATTACATTATTGTTGGAATATTATTACTAGCATTGATTAATAAATAATCTTTTATTTATTTTATTTACTGAACGTACTGTTTACTAATTATAATGTTTAATCAACTATTCCCCATTATTATATAAAGTCATCACGTTCATTTTGGTGCGCAATGGTTTTAATCATAAAACTTTATTGTAAATTTTTAAAAGTATTGAAAAAATACATGAATTTATAAAGTGCAATATGGTCGGTAAAACACGGATATTCTAAAAACTGCCTTTTATTTATTTTATACACTGAATGTACTGTTTACTAATTATTATTCTATCTTTCGGTTTGCGGACAAGCTAGGGGTTTTACAGCAGACGCTTAGCGAGGGGCTGCGTTTGGGGGGGGGGGGGGGGACATATGTCCCCGGGCGCCGACCTTAGGGGGCGCCAGAATGGGTATGAAAAACAAATTGAAAATTTGCGGGGGAATGGGGGTGTGCAATCGAAAGTTTGAGGGGGTGCAAATCAAAAGTTTGAGCGGGGGGGGGGGGGATTGCAAATCAAAAGTTTGAGGGCGGGGGTGCAAATCGAAAGTCTGAGGGGGAGTGCAAATCGAAAGTTTAAGGGGGTGGGGTGGAAATTGAAAGTTTGAGGGTGGATGCAAATCAAAAGTTTGTCCCCAGGCGCCGGGAATGGTCGCTACACTTCTGTTTTATAGTCATTCACTGAGTTAGACGCGTCCGCCGGCGCTCGGAAAGGGCGCGATTTTGGCGCTACGGGCTAGACTGTGAGCAATATGCCTTTATGATTGCATTTAAATTATGTTTATGTTATGAGTGTTGTGTTTTTTTTTTTCGGTTTTTTGTTTTTGTTTTTTTTTTCGTTTGTGTTGTGTTTAGTTTTGTTCTCTTCCCAAGCTGGTACATTTAAAAAAGATTTACCGTGGCGGAGCACGGGTATGTAGCTAGTCTATAATATAAGCTGGCTGGTGTGTGTCAGTCCTTCATTCCTTCCTTCCTTCATCGCTATAGATTTTGGAACCATAAAAATAAACATCGCACCTTGCATTGCTTTTCATTGCATCGCAGTATCTTATTATAAGTTATAGAGTAAGGTTTGTTTATATAATGTGTTAACATGTGTTAAGGCTTTCAAATAATGTGTTAACAATTAATAGGACTTCCATTTTAATGTGTTAACATGTTTTAGGGCTTTCAAATAATGTGTCAACATGTTGTAGGGCTTTCATATAATGTGTTAACATGTGTTAAGGCTTTCATATAATGTGTTAACATGTGTTAAGGCTTTCATATAATGTGTTAACATGTGTTAAGGCTTTCATATAATGTGTTCACATGTGTTACAGCTGTCAAATAATGTGTTAACACGTGTTACGACTTTCAAATAATGTGTTAACATGTGTTATTGCTGTCTTAGAATCTTTTAACATGTGTGACGGCTGTCAAATAATGAGTTAACATGTTTTAGGTCTGTCATATATATGTGGTAAGATATGTTAGTGCTGTCATATAATGTGTTATAATACTCTAGCTACCAATAGTTCTATACTGAACTACGATAATTTGTACACATTTCGAATTCATCTGTTGAAGTTTATCTGAAAATAAAAGGGAGATAATTGAAGTGTTACTGTACTGTCATCTAAAGACTACTAAAACTCAAGTTTGTTTACATGTTTGAATATTTATTTGTTTGTTTGTCTGATTGGCTACTGGAGAGAATCTGCACTATGTGTAGAGCTGTAATATGACTTACTTAGTCCTCCAAGGGATGACGGGTAGTCTAGTTAGGACATTAATATTGCGTTTCCAGCTCTGCTTGTTTATTGAACAATAAATTAATAAATCAATGATCGTTAAGGATTGTTAGGATGCTATTGAGTCTTTTGAAACTATAAACTACACATAGGAATCGATTCACTGAATACGTTTTAATCATTGTAACGAAAATATTGTAGGCTAATAGGTATCGCTGCAATAAATTGTAATGAAAGATTAAGAAAATGTTGTTTTAGGCACACATTAATGATGTCACGTATGAAACAAAAAAATATGTTTATGGCTAATTAATTAACATATGTGTAGTAATTTTGGGATGGATGCACGGCAAGATGCGTTTGCTGATGAATGCGAAAAGTAAGGGGAGTAAGGACAGTAACTCATTTAAAAATCAGTAGAGTTGGGACACAAATTGATTGATTAGAGATTGAGGAAAATGGCCATCTTTGATGGGTAGGCCTATATGGATCATTGGATTATATGACGCCGGTGTATGAGTCAGGAGTTATCCTACCTTTAGGAGTGACTCTTTAGTGTGTTCAGGTCCAGATGGACACTGACTCCAATATCACTGGGCAAGAGTAAGTAAATCTAGACGGTCGTTTGTTTTCAATATAACTTATGTGTGTATTGTGTTTAGACCGTAGGTCTATGTTGAAAATTAATGTTACAATTAAAAGTAGAGTAATAAATTGTAATATTTGAAATATATTGCTACTCATCCAGTGTTCATTATATAATGTTTTTATAACTTATCAACCACATATAATGTTTTTATAACTTATCAACCACATATAAGGTTTTTATAACTAACCAACAGTAAATAAGGTTTTTATAACTTACCAACAGCAAATAAGGTTTTTATAACTTACCAACAGCAAATAAGGTTTTTATAACTTACTAAGAGCCTATAAAGTTTATGTGAACACACAGTTTTGGGTCTAGACCTACTATTGAGACATCCCGAATGTGTGATGGTAGTGTGGACTCAACTTTTAGCAGGAGACATAAAAGAGAGATGACCACAGGATAAAATAGCATCATCCCGTTTCTTGGACTAGAGAAAGAGGGTCAAGGCTCTCCAAAACACAGGCAGTTGCGTAGCCTCAACCACCCCAAGTGTTGTAACCTCAACCACCCCAAGTGGTGTAACCTCAACCACACCAAGTGGTGTAACCTCAACCACCCCAAGTGGTGTAACCTCAACCACCCCAAGTGTTGTAACCTCAACCACCCCACGTGTTGTAACCTCAACCACCCCAAGTGGTGTAACCTCAACCACCCCAAGTGGTGTAACCTCAACCACACCAAGTGTTGTAACCTCAACCACCCCAAGTGGTGTAACCTCAACCACCCCAAGTGGTGTAACCTCAACCACCCCAAGTGTTGTAACCTCAACCACCCCACGTGTTGTAACCTCAACCACCCCAAGTGTTGTAACCTCAACCACCCCAAGTGGTGTAACCTCAACCACACCAAGTGTTGTAACCTCAACCACACCAAGTGGTGTAACCTCAACCACACCAAGTGTTGTAACCTCAACCACCCCAAGTGGTGTAACCTCAACCACCCCAAGTGGTGTAACCTCAACCACCCCAAGTGGTGTAACCTCAACCACACCAAGTGTTGTAACCTCAACCACACCAAGTGTTGTAACCTCAACCACCCCAAGTGGTGTAACCTCAACCACCCCAAGTGGTGTAACCTCAACCACACCAAGTGGTGTAACCTCAACCACCCCAAGTGGTGTAACCTCAACCACCCCAAGTGGTGTAACCTCAACCACCCCAAGTGGTGTAACCTCAACCACACCAAGTGGTGTAACCTCAACCACACCAAGTGTTGTAACCTCAACCACCCCACGTGTTGTAACCTCAACCACCCCAAGTGGTGTAACCTCAACCACACCAAGTGGTGTAAACTCAACCACACCAAGTGGTGTAACCTCAAACACCGCAAGTGGTATAACCTCAACTGATCTAGTGGTATAAACGTAATGTAAACGAAATCTTGAAAATAAGATTAGAAAGATATTAATTAGTAATCAAGTTTGTTCAGTGTTCAGTATATTACAATCATTATTTTTCTTAATTAGTATACAATTATTACAATTTTTAATTGTATTTATTTTTATTTATTACTTTAAAGTTATAACTACGCTATCTTTTATTAACTGGTGATATCTTTGTATACAGATTAAATAAATTCATATTTTATTGACAATTTTTCTTATAAATTAATTTTATGGACAACATAAGCAGATAATGAGGACAATATAATACCGGCAACAGCGATAATCACAACATTATGAATTAGGAAAACCATAATTTGGACAATGCGAGTCAAAGAATTGACGAGTGAATTCAATAAAAAGTGAAGTCAATAAAATTGCACAATCAAGCTTCAGGACAATAATTTCTGTAGGTCATGTATCGACTTGTCAAGTAATCTTGTAATAGTCTGACTTTGTTCACTTAGCCTTTGATCTCCACTGTCGATAAATTCAAACACAACCGCAGAAAGTTAATCAGCGTCTGATTTAACAATTGTTTTTTGAATAACAAGAGACAATCAAAGTTACGACGATTGCGGGGGACGAGAGAAGAAAATCAGTGCAGAAGAACGAATCAAACAGGAATAACAAAAGGGAGGGAACAAGTCACAGTGCTGCGAGCCGATCGAGCAAGGCCCGCTACTCGCACTCCAGTCGTCTGGCAGGGCCCGCTACTCGCATACGGAGACGGGCGGAGAGTTGCGGATGTCAGTGTTAAAAAGTGCGGACTTCCAGGAGAGCATGTGTCCCGGCCGGTGATTACAGAACCTCGGGGTAAGACATTAGACGGTCATCCACTTCCGGTGCTCGGTGGATGCCTGCAGTAGGTGAGTGGCACTGTCCATTACAGTTGTGTGTGGATATAAAGTTGTGTGTGGGGATTAAGTTGTGTGTGGACATTAAGTTGTGTGTGGACATTAAGTTGTGTGTGGACATTAAGTTGTGTGTGGATATTAAGTTGTGTGTGGATATTAAGTTGCGTGTGGACATTAAGTTATGTGTGGACATTAAGTTATGTGTGGACATTAAGTTGTGTGTGGACATTAAGTTGTGTGTGGACATTAAGTTGTGTGGACATTAAGTTATGTGTGGATATTAAGTTGTGTGGATATAAAGTTGTGTGGATATAAAGTTGTGTGTGGACATTAAGTTGTGTGTGGATATAAAATTGTACGGATATAAAGTTGTGTGGATATAAAGTTATGTGGATATAAAGCTGTGTTTGGACATTAAATTGTGTGTGGACATTAAGTTGTGTGGATATAAGTTGTGTTGATATAAAGTTGTGTGTACGTTCAGTTGTGTGGATTTAAAGTTGTGTAGACGTTCAGTTGTGTGGATACACAGTTGGGTGTGGTTATCATTTTTCCTTAGAGTTTTTAAATTTACAAAATGCCAATAATCTATTTTTATTGAGATAAGATGCCCGCGCTTAACCTACAAAAGAACGTCGTTGATTTGATGTTGTATACCAATACTTTATAAACTGCCCGAAATGTTTCATGTACATTAATTATGACAGTTTAATATACTATCTCTAGAAAAAATAAAGCATTTCTTCCTAATTAGTTTGTGAAATTGTTTTGAACATTACTTGAAATTTACTTTAGAAATTGTAAAATCTTTGCTGTAGGAAATTTGTAATAATGCTTATCTTCTTGTTTAAAATATAAAACGAGAACCATCTTCTCTTCCAATATAATTTCTTCAAGTAAGTCAATGTTGAGACATTAAGGTCTTTATAAACACGGCGTATACGTCAGATATTTAGACGAGTAGATCTTTACATCACGGCGTGTTGGCATACATCAGATATTGAAACAAACAGCTCTTTACATCACGGCGTGTAGGCCTACATCAGATATTGAAACAAACAGCTCTTTACATCACGGCGTGTTGGCATACATCAGATATTGAGACAAACAGCTCTTTACATCACGTCGTGTAGGCCTACATCAGATATTGAAACAAACAGCTCTTTACATCACGTCGTGTAGGCCTACATCAGATATTGAGACAAACAGCTCTTTACATCACGGCGTGTAGGCCTACATCAGATATTGAGACAAACAGCTCTTTACATCACGGCGTGTAGGCCTACATCAGATATTGAGACAAACAGCTCTTTATATCACGTCGTGTAGGCCTACATCAGATATTGAGACAAACAGCTCTTTACATCACGACGTGTAGGCCTACATCAGATATTGAGACAAACATCTTTACATCACGGCGTGTAGGCCTACATCAGATATTGAGACAAACAGCTCTTTACATCACGGCGTGTAGGCCTACATCAGATATTGAGACAAACGTCTTTACATCACGGCGTGTAGGCCTACATCAGATATTGAGACAAACATCTTTACATCACGGCGTGTAGGCCTACATCAGATATTGAGACCAACAGCTCTTTACAACACGGCGTGTAGGCCTACATCAGATATTGAGACCAACAGCTCTTTACATCACGGCGTGTAGGCCTACATCAGATATTGAGACAAACAGATCGTGACTGTCCCTATAGTGGAGCGGCCAGTTCAATGACCGGTCGCTTTAAAAAAAAAACCTTCTTGGTTCATGTTGAGTGCCCATTAGAACTGAGTAATTGGAGCCAGGTCTTTAAGGTCCACCATTCATAAGCTTCGTCCCTGTACTCTTCTGTTATTTCTTTTGTTACATTAAAAAAATATAAAATGTTTACTGACCGGAGTTGCTGTTAAGTAGGTGTTTAACACAGAGGCGCCGACTTGTGTTAAGCGCGGTGCCAAGAACTAACATAAATATACAATACAAATATATACTGATATAAATAAACATATATAACATATGCAAGATTGTTATATTGATAAATCAATTTAGTAATGGTTCATTTAAATAACCAATGGAGACCATCCAAACTAGAATCGGAAAAATTGTTCTAAATTTTAAAAAAAAGAGAAATAACGTACACAAAAATGATGTTCATTATTTATTATTTACAAAACATAAATTCTAAAAAGTTAAAATTACTCTTATTTTCCAATTTTAAAATTCCTTTGATTTTAGATTCATAATTCTACTCTATTTTAAATAGAAATGTTTAGTCGAAATAAACACATAGTTAAAATATCAAATTCAAATTTTACAGCCCCAATTATAAAAACTGCATACTATTTAAGAAACCTGTGTTTTCCCCAGTCTTAAAAGCCCGTCTTAGCGTGCCCGTCCCCGCGAGTTGCCGCGGGGATAGAAGAAAGTCTGACAAAATGTATTACAAGGGTTTCACCAATGCGTTACCAATCCTATATTTTTAGACTTGTGACCTTGTTTTCTAAAACTGAGTTATTTTTATGTAAACAATTTCAGCGCTTGGATCATATTTATCGGGGCATGGGTTTACCTACACTACCGCGTGAAAGTCTTGAGTGTTAGGACAAACACAAACGTATTGTATCATAGATTTTGTTTAATTCTTGCATTGATATTTAAATAAATCAGAAAGAAGAAACTGCTGTACACTTGTGCACATTTTTTAAACAGTGTATCTTAAAAATTAAAATAAACTTAAGCTCGGATCAGCTTAAATCAGTTCCCGTCATCAGTATTAAACCCATTCGCGTTGGGCAGCTGAGCTCAAATCAGCTCTATTCAGTACCCAGCATTAGTCTTACACTAGTCCGTATTTGTGCCATTAAATTCAGATCAGTTCTATTCAGTACGCAGCACATCGTTGCTTGAGCCATCAAGCTCTGATCAGCTTTATTCCGTACTCAGCATTATTCCTACACCTGTCCTCATTTGACCTCGTTTGTTTACAGACAACTCACCAACTACCGTCGACCATGTTGGCGATGTAATAGCCAGATTTTTTTTTATCTTCCCCCACCACGTGTAGTGTTGAATAACCATCCTGGCCATCACTGCACGTGAGCTTTGAATGAGAGCCAGCGAGGGTGAGTACTAACTTCAACGTCTGGCTTTATTTAGAGACTCGCCGACTGATCCTCCCTAGACCAGGATCACTGCTCATTTCCGAGCACGCCCGAGTTTTGTTGGGACTTCTGTTTTCGTACCAGCGATGTTAGACGTCCACTGTTATTTCAACGCCGTAGATGAAAAAGTAAATTGTTTTCTGACGAATGTCTTCGGTAGAGACGCCGGGTAATTGTGTTGTCGGTTGTAAATGTCAAGCGATTTATCCGAGTCGTGTCGTGTATATACCACGTGTCTCGCGTATTTCACCGCCTCAAATATTAGGTAGATAAAGATAGTGTATAGAGATGATGGTATCGCTAGAGATGTTGGTACCGTAAGAATAGTATCGTTAGATATGGTGGTATCGCTGGACAAGATGGTATCGCTATGCGTGTGGTATCGTTCGACATGATGGTATATATTGACGTGTGGTATCGCAAGACATGGTGTATAGACATGAAAATATTGCTAGAGATGTCGGTATCGTAATTTTGGTATCGCGATGCATACGGTATAGACATGAAAAGTCTATGTAATCATACTAAGGTTTTGAAAAATTATTTTTTTAAAATATGGCAAGCGATAAAATTATAGCTAAATTTGTAAAAATGAAATCCGTTTGGAAACCATCGATTACTCTCGTTTTTATATTTTTGTATCGAATATAAGCCGTTGAAAAGCCGTTTAGAATAAGTTTATCAATTCAAATATTTTCAAAAACTGCCCTCAACCTCTCCTTGGCATCGTTAGGCATGATGGTATCGTTGGGCATGATGGTATCGTTGGGCATGATGGTATCGCTGGATTTTATGGTATTGCAAAACACGATGGTATCGTTTGTCTTGTCATGTTTTATCATGTCATGTGTTTGTCTTGTCATGTGTTTGTGTTTGTCCTATCATGTATTTGTCTTGTTGTGTGTTTGACTTGTTGTGTGTTTTTCTTGCCATGTGCTTGTCTTGGCATGCATTAAAACACAATGAATGCGTTTAATGGATTTGAACAAATAGCGTTCATTTAATTTTACTTTGCTAATACAAATTATTAAATTTCTTTGGCTTTCTATTTCTGTGACTTAAAATTTCAGTAATTTTCTGCTACTTTAAGTTGTTTTTTTTTTTACTTTCTATTTTTGGGACTTAAAATTTCTATGACCTTTAATTTCTATGGCATTATACTTCATCGACTTTCTATTTCGACGACCTCTTGAATTTTAGACGTCAAGTACGGTTCAAGTTCTCTTTAAGCCCAACAACAATCATCTAATGAGCTGTAATTTATGTGATTTCATCCAGTCCACTATTTCTGGTTCTTGTGGGCCGACGTCATCAAGTATTTGTCTCTTTCAGTCCACAGACACAAACATTCAAGGCCCGTAATTACCTCTCTCAACTTTCCTTGTCACAGGGTTTTCCCCCTTGGTCTGCCGACACTGAAACAAAAACAAATTTAATTTAAAAAGAAAAACAAATTAAATATAACAAAAAAATGACTTGACACCATCCAGCATGGTAAATGACCCGTGACCATACTCGGAGATACAGACGACGGGGGTTGTTGTCTTTACGCCTCATTTGCTTCATTACTTGACGCGCGTCATCCTTGGATAAGAAAGTCTGAGGGGAAGAAAGGCGCTAGTGACTCTCAATCTTTTTCTTCCGAGGGCGTCTTGCGGAATCAATTTGAAACATACAAGTAACTTTATCTTTAAAAAAAAATGGCGTCTAGTGACCTAGTCTAAGTTTTAAAAATAGTTTTTAAGGAAGTTGAAATTACGTCATTACCATGGCTGCGGGATGGGAGGGGAGAGAAATCAGGGCGGCGTAAGAACATGGTTCTTGCGTTAAGAAAAAAAAAACCTTCCCGTAGT